TTGAATTATCTCATGTCTAGATGTTACGAGGAGTGATATGCGAGAGCGGCAAGATGAAACGTCGACGTCCCATCGAGATAACGGAGCACGACCAAACGTAGAGAAAGGGAGTGTAGCAAACGTTTATGAACTTTACCGCGCCCTTAGTCATAGCCGGCGCCCTAAGCGGAGGTCATCCGACAGATAAACGACGAAATAAACAGGAAACCATGAAAAACATATTTTCTTCGTTTCGATCGTCGCATGAACTGGTTCGCATGAACATCATACGAATGAACTGGTTACGAGAATAAAAAGAGAAGAAAAAGAAAAAAAGAAAACGGAAAAAATTAAGAAGTTAAAAAGAACAAAGAAAAGAAAAATGATCAAAGAAAAAAGTATATATGATCTTTAAAGAGAAATCGATTAATAGAAAATTAACAAAGGATTAAAGTTGTTCTTATTGAATTTTGTTAATGAGCAATAAAAAATGTAGGAATTATTCTGTTAATATATTGATTGCCTATATTTTATTATATTTTATTTTATTTTATTTTATTATATTATGAGGACACAAATTAGCCCCATTAAATCGGCCATTGCCGGAGGCTCGCTTCTGACTGAAAAGTGTGTCGCATTCGATCGGCCTCTGAGAAGAAGAATTTATTACAAAGAGAGACATGTACTATATGTACGTGCACACACAAATACAAAATATACACATACACAGAAAGAAAAAGAAAAAGAGAGAGACAGAGAGAAAGAGAGACAGACAGACAGACAGACATACTCACACACATATTGTTAGTAGTCCAGAACGTGTAAAATTATTCAGATATTCGGATTTCGTAGAGATACGCGAAAGAAATTTTCCAAAATCATTTGATCTATTTTGGAGAAAGAAATAAATGATGATATCAGTTAGACGTAGAAATCGGTAAGATTATGAAATGCAAAAGCTGTTGAATTTTATGTAATGCAAAACTTATCGCATTTCGCTTTCGTCAATGGCAATAGTATATATATATATATATGTGTGTGTGTGTGCATATATATATATATTTTATAAATTTTATATACATACGTATTTTATATACATATAAAAGCAAGTAACTTAGCAAGACGTGTATACACGTATACGGAACGTGTCGTTGCAACGTGCGGATTATTCAAACAAGTGGAGCATGATCCAACGGTATGTGTTTGTATATATTATAAATATATACTGATATATATATATATATACATATATATATAAAAGTATATATATATATGTATGTATCTTGCCCGATCGAGCAAAACCTTCTTGCTCGCGGAGAAACCAAGAAGCGAGTTTACTAATCACCCGAGAAACGCCACGATTACAATCCGGTGGAATGCGCTTAGAGCCGTCCTTTCGAAAGGCTTCTGCTCTCACGTTCTCTATCTCTTACTATATTTCTCTAGACACCGTATATAAAAAACCGATATATAGAAACTACTATAAGTCGATAACTATCGACAGATTAAATAATTTTTTATTTAATCAATGATTTCTCGATCAAACAGAAATATATTATATTATAATTTATGCGTATATGTTTTACAATTGAATGTTTTATTTATTTTTTTTTCTTTTTTTCTTTCATTTCTTTTTTTTTTTTTTTCTTAATTTTATTTCATTGAAATAAAATTCAATTGTAAAATTAATATCTAGCTTGATAATAATTATACAGGCAATACTTTCTCTTTGACGAATGACATACACAGATTGTATCATTCTATACTTTCACAGATACGAAAGGGAGTATGTACCAAGAAAGATCTAACTTATCGCAACTCTCGAAGATCACGATCGTCGCACGATCATATAACCTCCAACTAAGAGAATACATATATACATATATATATACATACATACGTACATATTTACTTGAGCTGCATTGTATTGAGAGATTCGAGAGACTTTTCACGACTTTTTGCCAACACGAAAGAAAGTATTTATTTAACGTTCTGATTATATCGTTAAGGAGGGGATGACTTATCATACCGATTAAAGCAACCGGAATATGAACTTGTATTAAAACAAATGCAGCAATTTTTAAGTTTACAATATTCTATTTGTTAATATGTAATGAAAAAAAAATGTTGTTTGAAAATCGTTTTTCTTTTTTTTTTCTCTTTTAATAGTTACCTGCAAAAATAATTAATATATAAGATGTAATAGAGAGACTTGAGGAACTTATCTTACCAGTTGTGCTCTTTCTCTCTCTCTCTCTCTCTCTCTCTCTCTCTCTCTCTCTCTCTCTCTCTCTCTTTCATTTAAGAAGAACGAGACCAATTTGATAGATTGGAAAAGTTTTTCTTGTGCGTATCATCTTTGCGAATAATTGCCATACGGAGATTCTCGCGAACCGATCATTATAATTTATTACATATCGTACACATATATAAATCAACGTACTTGTGTTTACATATACGCATCATATGTATATATGTACGTAATACACAATATCGCGTATATATGTATATACCCGACCGACAGCGAGTTTCCTGTTGATTTTAGAGAAACTTTCGACAAGCTTCCTCTTATAATTTATCGCTTGCTACGTCATTATCGTCAATAATTATGAATGATCGGTCATCCGTTTGATGATTTCCCGGAAAATTTATGATTTGAAAAATCGACCGACTTTATTGAGATCAAAATTTTTTAAACTATGATAAATATATATATATATAATTTTACTATTTGATTTTCTTTCTTATTTATAATTTTCTTTCAATTTTTGTCTATTTTATCTGGTTATTTAACCCCCTAAATGAATTTTCCTAAAAATCATGATCTAGTTAAATCACTTTTTGTCAATATTATTCATGTCATAAAAACAATATATATATATATGTGTGTGTTATAAAAAATGTTGATATATTATATGATATATAATAAATATATCACAAATAAATTGATGTAAATATTTCGAAATAAAAGAAAGAGGAAAAAGAAAGAAAGAAAGAAAGAAAGAAAGAAAGAAAGAAAGAAAGAAGGGAAGAAAGAGAGGTATAAGTATCTTCTTGTTATCCACGTACGTCGATTTCGTATCACGTAGGCACTTACAACTCGCATAAATCATACCTTACCATAGGACCTCCATTTCGTAGCACAAAGCCCGTGGCAATGCGCGTGAGGACACGATAAAAGATTGCCGATGTTTCACCTTCGAAATATTCAAACCCTTCTCTCTTTCTCTCTCTCTCTCTCTCACTCTCTCTCTCTCTTTCTTTCTATCTATCTATCTTTCTCTTTTTCTTGTTATAAGTGCGTGTTACGAATACAGTTTCGCGATAAGAGATATTGCAGGAGTACATTGAAAGTTTCGACAATTGCATTATTGAATCTTGTAACGTGTTACAACGACCTCGAGAATTCGTTACGAGTTTGTATCTTTTTTTTTATTTCGTTCTTTTCTTCTTTTTCTCTTTTTTATCATACCTTGCACTCTCGATTACGTGTGTATGCAATCAATACGAAGATAAAATTATATATAAGAAAAGGAGACAGATAGAAAAAAAAAAAGATATAGAGAGATAGACAAAGTTATATTAAAATTAATTATAGTGTAGGTACAACGTGTTATGTTAATCATAGAATAATTTATTGTCATTAAAATTGAATCGATTAGCATCATAAATTGAATGTCTTATCGATCTCAATTTTTCTCGTATAGCTCATCGAATTTTTTTACAACTTATAATTAATAATCATGTCATTGAATTCCGAAAGATCAAGGAAAGCTTCTACATTGTTAATGTACCCGATATTAATACTCGATGAAAATTAATACATTGTTCATTGTTCATAAAGGATTGAAAAGAATTATTAAAAAAAAAAAATGAGAGAGAGAGAGAGAGAGAGAGAGCGAGAAATTGCATTATTCACACAAATTTACATTAGTTACAAATGCGATACTATTATTACTATCTCATTGTTAGTCCTATAATAAAATATTTGATACTATCGATTTTTGTCCACTTTTCTCACGGCTCTCGTTGTTCGTAACGACACATCGAACGATCGTGAATTCGATTCTCGTATTTGTACGGCTTATTCACGAAGCAAACATAATCGTAGCTTACCATGCGTATAACGGTAAAAACAGAACAACGTGCATTCGTGTATGCATGTTACGTGCAAGTTCTTAAATCCTTATAGATCTTCAAAAGTTTCCAATTATATTCCTTTCGTTATACATACATAGATATAAAATGAAAAAGAAAACTGTAACTTGGATATTTTTTTTTGTTTGCTCTTTGAGCTATATATATATACATATATATTCATACATTTAAATTGATTGAAACATGTGCCATATGTAAGAAAAAAAAAAAAGAAATAATAAATAAATAAAAAAGAAAAAAATTTGTTCATTGAAATTATCTAAAAGATTGTGTTAAACGAGAGATAACCGTGAGGATAATCTTTAAACTCAATCTCTTGAGATTCAATGAACAAGTAATAGTCACGATTGGATCGAATTTGTTCCGTGTCGAATTCCGTGAGACGAACAGGTAATTTACATTCACTTACGGGATCGAGAAGGTTCGTTCAAACTCTGGCCAGAATGAATACGACTTGATTAATCAATTAATTGCCGTTGTCCGTTTGTTCAGTGAACCAAATGATCAAACGATTGGATTAGGTTACCAATTCGTTTGTTTTTGGTTCTTCCTTGTCATTTACCGTTGTCCATTCTAAATTTTATAATAGACATTGAGATCGTTTTAGAAATGAAAACAAAAAAGAGAATTAAAAATTTATAATCATTTATCTCGAACTATATATACATGCATTTACATATATACAATATATATATATATATATATATATATATATATATATATATATTGTCAATCGATTGTTAATAAATTAGGTTACATAAAATAAATTGATCCCAATAAAAGGAAATAGATGACAAAGAATTATTTCATCAATATCTTCTATCGCTATAATACTAATTTACATGTTTTCAATCTATTTTCAGATAATTCCAATGCGACGAGCGTCAAGAGGAAGGTGACGAGGTTGGGTCACATACGAGAGTCGAATAAGATCAAGCAGAGATACTTGAGCTTGGTGGGACATCGGAGGACGATGATGATGTTACGATCGTTTTTATTTATTCTCTTCCTCGTTGTAAGGCATTGCGAATTGGCACCGATGAGAGCCAAGGATTTGGCTCTAGACGATGATATACCATCATCGTCATCGTCATCGTCGTCGTCGTCGTCGTCGTCGTCGCTGTCGTCGTCGTCATCGTCATCGTCATCATCATCATCATCATCATCATCATCATCATTGTTGTCCTCCTCAATGCCAATGTCAAGAAAAGGATCTCGAAGCTCATCTTCACCAAGCGAATTAACCTGGGAAGCTTGGTTATTGGTCGATGCACAAGCTGGTGATCACACTGGTTTAGACTCGGCCAACATTTTACGAAAGATCACACCGAAGAGTATTTTCTTCGCTCCGACTCGCATCGAATGCGCCGAAGGCTATCGCGCTGATACCATGGACAGATGCGTAAAAGATGTTAAAATTGATCACGAAGCGCAATTCGATTTCCTCTTGAAACGCGTCAGTGCTATGTACTTGCAACGATTTGGTGCTAATACTCAGGATCAAAAAACGAAAGATCAGAAACACTCTTCTGGTCCACTTCAATTAAGCATTCCCTTGCTCGGTGCACCGATAGCTGCCTCTCCTGTTGAGACTCAACAGATAACGAAGAACGAGGATGAAGGGACGAATGTAAGGGTCGGAGTTTTACCATTTTTGGAATTGATCGCTGGTTTACGCGAGGATAGCTAGCTGTATTAATATGAACGGCCTAAATTATTTTATTCATTTTATGTGATACTTTTCATTTTTATTAGGACATCTTTATAACTAATAATAGATTTTTAATCGAGAATTTTTTTTTTCCTTTCGACAAAACCTTTATTATTGATATTATTGAAAAAAAAACGTGACGTGTTAAACAATGAATACTAATTATTTATCTTTTCTCTCTCTCTCTCTTTCTTTCTTCTCTTTCTTTTTAAATAATTCTCGTAATATTCATTTGTTTAGTATTAATATTAAAAATGTTAAGTACCTGTCTTTGCGTGAACCGGTAATAACGTTAACGTCATTTTCCCAATGCAATTCTTGAAAGTGTCTGTGATTTGGAATAAATATTTTTATTAATTAATTCGTCTTGCAATGGACACGTATATTTCATATTATTTTCTTGTAAAATAAAGTGCCCTTATTCATAATATAATATATTCATATATCATGAAATATTTGTTATCTAGTCATTGCATCGATTCTATAACGAACAATTTTATTTCTTAATACTTTGAAGGTAGGACGAGTCACGTGATTCATTGTTTATATATATATATGTATATCAATTATCATGTACATAAATATATATATATATATATATTAAAAAAAAATAAAATAAAATAAAATGAAATAAAATAAAATACTTTAGCGTATACCGGCAATTGCGTATATCAGTAACAACAGTGATAATGAAAATAATAATAATAATAATAATAATAACTATCTCATAATAATGAGATAATCTTCTTTATTGTAAAATTACACAAGCACCTGTGCTACTTCTCTTAGGAACCCCCGAAGGAGACGGTTACCGTTTACGAAGCTAAGAACGAGACGACAACAAAAGAAGAAGAGGAAGAAGGAGAGGAAGAAGTAGAAGTAGAACAAGATGAATCGAAAGAGGAAGATAAGAAAATAATATATCTTGGAAATACCAATAGCAATACCTTTGTCGATAAGAACGATGCTCTTAACGAGTCTTTCAAATCCGAAGGTATTGTGCCCGTTGCTGAATTCGTGGACGAGACAAATGGTAGTAGCTTTTCGGAAATAGTAGATTACAAGATACCGATCGATCTAAAAGCCATTTTAAATGTCACGAACGCAAAGAAAAATAGCAATGAGAGTGAAATGGTTGAGGATACAAGAATGAAAGAAATATTTTCAATGAATGTTACGAGTATGTCGCCAACATTGGTTTTCGTTTTGACACCTACGAAACAACCTCAAGCCGAATCCCCAACCTCTTCGGAGAATCCACCAGATGATTCTCCTGAGGAATTCTCAAATGTTACAACCGATCAAGTGATCGTTCGAATAAACGAATCAATGAAAAATTCAAGCAATCAGGAAATCGACGTAGTCAGCGAATCGAGCTCGATGATACCACCTCTGAGACAATTCCCCGAGATCCCATTAATCATTGAAGATAAGATCGAGAATAATGGTAATAGTTCGGAGGCTTCTGGTATGGAAATAAACGGTGGTGAAGAACAAGAAACGATGTATGAGGATGAACAAGTTGAGGAAGATGTCGATGAGGATGATGATGAGTACATTGACAATACCGATACACCGGAGGAAGAATTCACCGAATTCGAAGGTGAAATTTTGAAACATGGCGAAGCTGGGATCACTATACCTGTAAAGAACTTGGATAGATTACATATGGAGGAAGAACATCGAGAGAGAAATGAGGAATCGATTGTTAAAAAAAAAAAGGAGAATGATATGTTTGACAATTTCCAAGATGAAATTTCTATTCGTTTCAATCATACTATCTTCAATATAGACGAATCTGATAGCAACATATCCAGTGAGGCAACTATCAAGGACGATGTCATTATAGAAACAACGTTGCTGAACGTTGACCCTATGAAACTTTTGAATGATAGTAAATCTTCTTTTAAAAATGATAGTTCGGAAAACGATGAGGATGAACGTTTTAATAAGCATTTTGAGTCAGAAAGAACACAAGATACAAGATCAGAAATAATATTCCCAAAGGGAAAAGTTCGTACGACGATATCAACAGATACGGAAGAAAATGGTAAATTGGAGGATCAGGTAAGTAGGATAAAGTCCGATGATAAAGAAAAGAATCCAATGGATTTGAGGAATATCGAGCTCGTTGCCGAACCTTCATCCTCGGAGTCTCTTCTTTACGATCCTCTTTCTGGCGATCGTTATACGGCAGAATCGATAGTCGAATTAGAGGATTCGAAAACTACTACTACTACTACTACTACTACTACTACTAACAGCCCTAACACACGAAATCTTTTGGATCTCGAAGGTTCATCGAGTTACGTAAGATCAGCACAAAGTTACGTTAAATTTCCTTCGGACGAGATTAACAGTATACATAATCAGGATTACAAGGAACGAGGCCAACATCTTTATGACGAAGGACTCTATTCTAGTACAAGCACGAAAAGTACCGTGCCAGTTCATCAGAAATCATCTTATTCTAGAACCTCAACAGGATGGAGAATAGATCGTCAACAACAGCCAGATCATGAAAGAAATCGTTCGGTCGTCGTTCAAAGACAAAAACCAAGGCCACCAATGTATTTGTCTCGAACGAAGGCACCTCTGACGAGGATCTCTCCTAGTTTATATTCCATCAGTCAACCTCCTCGTAGTGCTACGATCATGGATAGAGGTTATAGAAACGCTTATGTTCAAGTATCACCCTTTCATAGGGTTGGATACTAAAATCCATATAAAAGGGTGATTCGCCTGATTAAGCGAGGAAGATGATATTAATGATCTTCGCGTGGGGGGCTATCAATGACGTCGCTCTCCACTGAAAATGATTCCCTGGGAAACAAGCCGAGTCGACTCGAACGATGGGTCGACTTTGATAAATGTCGATGAATCCTCTTGGAACTGTGCCAAATAAAATGAAGGTTCAAAAGGGTGTTAAACTATCGCTCGCTAAGAATGTGTGATAAGCGATCAAGAACACTTGCGATTTGGCATAATTACATTAATTCTTATGTCCGAATCAAAGAATCTCTAAAGATTGGAACGTTTTTGCGGGATGGAGGGAGAAGAAAAAAAAAAAAAAGAAAGGAAAAGGAAAAGCTCGAACTCTTCGAAAGGGATACATATATAATAGAAAAATCAATCGAGCTTCTTTTTCCTTAATTTCAGCTTTTTTTCTTTTTTTCATTTTCCGTCCCTTGTGATGAAACAAATAAGAAAGAAACGAGTTCGTTTATATCCTCTTTATACGATCCAACGATCCCAAAGATTTTTAATATTCGTTGGAAATTAATTTCTCGAAAAATACTTTTTCTTTTTCCATTTAGTTAACAACTTTTCAAATGATATCAGCGTCGGATAGATCCAATGGTAATAACGTTGACGAGGTCAATCGTTCACTTTAACGAATTAAAAATTGACATTTTTTGACGTTTAACAGAGGAGAAAGTATATTGCAAATATACGTAGAGAGATTATATCATTGGTACGATCGTTATCATAATGTTTTGCCGAACGATAAAGAGAAATACAAGAGAAGAGGATGTTTGATGGTTGTATTTATCATCGACGAGGTTTCGCATGTTTTCAAATGAACAAGAAATTCTTAAACTCGTTCGATAGATTAAAACGATCTTATTAAGAATTTCTACCATAACTAAGTCGAAGAATTAGTGGGATATAATTTTCGAAAGTGAAAGTCTTGATGATCGATAAGATCGCGATTTGTTCCGATTGGCTTTCACAGTACAGCGTACACACTGCAAAATTATTAGGAATTAGGAACAACTTTGATACAATCGATTCATATTTCTAATGCGCGAGAAAGTATAATATATATATATACATATACATATATATATATATATATATATATATATATATATATATATATATATAAATTTAGTGAGATAAACCGTCGAATTTTAAATAATATAATCGATTGAGAGAAGAAGAAAAAGAAGAAAAAAAAAGAGATTTACACGAGTTCGGGTAATTCGTATTTATTTAACCTTCGTGACGTTGCATTCATATGTATGTACATATCTACAAATTTTTGCTTACAGATCGATCAAATGTCCTCGACTCGTAATACGTGTTTATTATTATTTGATTATTACGAAGGTTATACCGTTGTTGTTTAATTTTGTTTGTTTAATAATAAATAATAAAACATTTGTTATTTACAGTTCAAGATAATATTAAATGAAGATTATCTTAATTCCTATTAAAGAATGGATGATACTTGAATATCCTATTATTTGATACGTATATAAATACTGTGAACAATGTTTTACCAAAAATAAATCATTCTTCTTATCATATGCATATATACATATATATATATATATATATCATACGATTGGGCATACAAATATAAACACACATACGACTCGAACTCGTGAAACTGTCGGCCTAATGTATTTATATATCCAAAATTGGGCTCTGCAGTTGTATGTACGCACGCACACGAATGCATACTCGCCTCACGCTATAAACGATAAAATCATGCTACTTATAAGCGTTTATAGTTGCATCAAATTCAGCGTACTCGTAATATCATCGTTTTGTACTACTTTATGATATAAGGAGATCGATTTTACACGAAAATTGTACAGTTAAAATTATGTATCCATGTCTTCTGAATGTTTTCGATGTGAAAGATATTCAACGGTCCTTCCTTAATAGTATTCACAAATTTAGACTCGGAATAGTCATTAAAGTTGACAGTCTTCGATGTCGCTATGCCTTGTCCTGTTACACTGGTATTATTATTCTTTAATGTTACACGATACACGGTACATTGTTTTTTTTTTTTTTTCTTTTTTTTTTTACAAAGAAACACACATGATACAGTTAATCCTATACGAAAGACACATACGACCAATGGAAATTAATACTAGACTTTACTTTTAATAATGTTCAACGTGTATGGCTATGTCTCTTTTACGTGTGATATCACGTATGATAAAACAAATATGACACTCGACAGTGTGGTCGGTAACATTATTGTTCTATGTATGTTTCAATGTGGTGTGTAATGTTTCTTATCTATTATATGCCAATTTATGTAAATATTAACTTTATTAAAAGAATTGTGTATATATATTATATGGTATTAATAATGAACAAACAAAAGAACACTGTCATAATACGTATTAATTGTAATTGTATTGAACAATTATTGTATTATTTATGGCTAAATATAACAATGTATATTACATATTCTACAATAATTTACTGTAAACAAATGTATTTGTATAAATACATTTGTTGCATCGCGCGTAGAAACAATCGCAATAAGATAAGACGATATTATTCCAAAAAAAAAAATTAATGTGTTCTCTCATTTCTTTAGCCTGTCTGTTATTTTATGAATTAGGAAATGATATTTTCAATCCTTTGAAACCTCTTGCGAGAACAAATGTTTCACTGGATTCGGTACGTGTTGCATTAGGTTTACATATCTTGATGCTTGTATAAAATTTTGCTAAATCATTTTGTAATTGAATTAACTTAGATCCATCCCAAATTTTAACAAGAAGAAGTCCATCTTTGTTTAAAACTTGGAGAGCAAACTTCATAGCGCAATATGCCAATTTCATTATATTTTCATGATCTAATTCCCGTACACCGGTAGCATTAGGAGCCATATCGGATAAAACAACATTTGCTTTAATTCCATTTAATAATTGGTACACTTTTCTGTGTGTATCTAATGCAGTAAAATCCATATTTCCTAAAACAGTCGCACCTTCTATTGGGAAAATTGAAAGTCTATCTATTGCAATAACTTTCCCAATGGAACCATCCTGTTTACCATCCGCATTGGTTAATTTGACAGCAACCTGAGACCAACTGCCTGGAGAAGCACCGCAATCTATTACGATATCTCCGAAGTTGAAAATCTTTTTGCTCTCGTTTATTTCTAATAATTTAAAAGCACTTCTACATCTATAATTTTGTTGTTTGGCCATCTCAACATAGGGATCACGCAACTGTCTTTTCAACCATAATTGGGAACTATGTTTTTTGCCTTTCAAATTGTTCGGTTTCTCTCGTAACAATGGAGTATAAACATGTATACATCTCATAAAAATAGTATTTATAAAACGCATCTTTCTGTTGTTGTTAATAACCTAACCTCTTCGAGATAAAACAAGTAAGATCAAACACTTCTTATAATCTTGATCAAAATTCATTTTTATCTCACAACGTATAGATGCTAAGTAACAAACAAATCACTTATTATATATTAAATCTTTCTATTAAATGAAAAATAAAAAAATATAAATGAAAAGTATCGATATGCTTAAATACACACGAAATAGTATTGAAACTAGAACAAACTAGAGTTCGTTCTGATTGGTCGAAGAGAAATGCGATAGGTTCCACACTATATCAGCTGATTAATGGCAGAGGCAGCTTCGTTGGCATGCGCGAAGATGGTGGCTGGATTTCGTCGGCAGGTAAGGTCTTGCGCTGCTTGCCGGCCATTGCCGGCGAATATGTGATCAACTTCGACGAGTTTAAACAGACGGTACGAACGAATGTCTACCAAAAGGACTTAATTTACGATGAATTTAACAACGGGAAACCCACATGGTAACGGCTTGCTTTATGCTGGCTTCAATCAGGATCAAGGTATGTGACCCAGTGCGCCACATTTTGACAGCGCTGGCATGCCACTGTCAAATTTATTTATTTTTCTTTTTTTTCCTCTCTTCTAACCTACGTCGACTTGCAATGTTTTTCCGTCATTTATTCACATCGCGATTGGACGCTCGCCCACAAATCGAGTTATTTTCGTCTTCAACCTCGTAAATTTACGACCAACAACATATTTCGGGTCGATTAATTCAGCTTTTTTTGATAAAGCTTCATTATGACTTTCTTAACCTCACTCGAGTACCATATCGACATTCAGATATCGACATTAGATTCTTTTCTATAAAGATTTCTTTATTTTTATTATTGTCCTTTGTTCCATCATTTTTGCCATTTTTATTATTATTCCTATCTTTGTGTACTATACAAATATATCTTTAAGAAGTGAAATGGTACAGTATGTGATCTTTTACTTTCCAGCTATATTAACTTTCTTTTACTTTGCAACTTTAGAATAATTTAATTGACACCTATGAAAAACTTTTCCTATTGGTATATTTATTTTTGAAAATATGTCTATGTTGTATTGATTATATATACGTATATATGTATATTTATTGTTTCTTATAATGCCAATATTCTATAAAATCAAATATGTCTTTGAACTTTAAGAACAACATTATACATAATTATAATATTTCTGATAACTTTGTATATCTTTCTTACCAAAGTATGTTTGTTCATTCAAGTAATCACCGGATTTATATGTAATTGTTTAAGTATCGTTGGATGTTGTAAATGTATCAGTGAAATAAATTTCCATAAAATAAGATATACATACATGTAACATATGTTTAATAAGTAGATAACATGATCCCCTCATTTATATTGACTTTTGTACTTACAGGATGCTTTGTCTGCGGTACAGAAAATGGCTATAGAGTATATAATTGTGATCCCTTAAAGGGGAAAGAAAAAGAGCGTCATGATTTTAATGATGGAGGTCTTGGTTATGTTGAAATGTTATTTAGATGTAATTATTTGGCACTCGTTGGCGGTGGGCCAAAGCCAATGTATCCTGTTAATAAAGGTAATATCTATTGCGTTATACGCATTTTAAAAAATAAGAAATTATAATAGATATAATCAATATGATATTTTTAGTTATCATATGGGATGATTTGAAAAAAGCACCAGCTATTACATTGGAATTTAATGCACCTGTAAAAGGTGTAAAATTAAGAAGAGATAGGATAGTAGTAATATTAGAAGGTGTTATAAAGGTTTATACATTTACGCAAAATCCACAACAATTACATGTCTTTGAAACCAATCCCAATCCAAGAGGATTGTGTGTTTTGTGTCCAAACAGTAACAATTCTTTGCTTGCTTTCCCAGGGCGAAAAAATGGTCATGTTCAAGGTAATATTGCATTGAATTAAAAAAAGGTTTTTTAAAATTTTTTATCAATTTTCTGATATGAAATTATTTATTTATTTCGTGGTTTTTCCTTGTAGTTATAGATCTAGCAAACACTGAGAAACAGCCTTTAAATATTGAAGCACATGAAACACCCTTGTCTTGTATAGCTTTAAATTTACAAGGTACTCGACTTGCTACAGCTTCTGAAAAGGGTACTCTGATAAGGGTATTCGATACACAAAATGGTAATATGATTAATGAATTACGAAGAGGAGCAAATCATGCTAATATCTATTGGTAAAAAAATTCAGCAAATATTTTAATAAGAATCAATGACGTTTATGATTATTTAATCAAAAATTTCACTTTTTTAGCATAAATTTTAATCACGATTCAACGTGGCTATGCGTTGCGAGCGATCATGGTACGGTACACGTTTTTGCGGTAGAAGATCAAAAATTAAATCGTCAATCTAGTTTAGCGTCAGCTACTTTTTTACCAAAGTATTTTAGTTCGAGCTGGAGTTTTTGCAAATTTCAAGTTCCAGGAGGTCCTCAATGCATGTGTGCGTTTGGAACTGGCAACAATAGTATTATAGGTTGGTATTGATCAAGTTGAAAAATATATTTCTTGTAATTACACGTTAATCTTAAATAATAAATTATTTCTTTTCTCCCCTTTTTTTTTCTGTACATACAGTAATATGTGCCGATGGGAGTTACTACAAATTTGTATTTAATAACAAAGGAGAGTGTTCGCGAGACTTTTACGCGCAGTTCCTTGAATTAACGGATGACAAAATGTGACTGAAAAGTGTAAGGCGTATGAATGTTTCATTACGAAAAGCTAATGTGACTTTTTTGTCATCGTACGTCTCGTTGTTGCTTTCGTTTTACGTGTCAATTGCAGAGGATAGAGATTTGCAGTACATTTTCGCATCGTCGTGACTATTGTCGTGCTTGCTCAAAAAAAAAAAAAAAAAAAAAAAAAAAAAAGAAAAAGAAAGAAAGAAAAAAACCAGAAAAAAATGAGCATTTTATGCAGGGAAGCGAAAATGAATCTTAATCTTTTTAAAGTTAGATCATTCGACGGAGAGGACCAAAACGAAAAGTTATATGAATTGTTGGTGATACGTGCACTGTGCATGAATTTTTTCATAATAATAATAATAAGATCTAAGGGACATTATTGGTGATATCGTTGATTGTTACGTGGGGCCTAGTGGAGAGAGAGAGAGAGAGAGAGAGAGAGAGAGAGAGAGAGAGAGAGAGGGAATGCGCTTTCTTACTAAATTACGAGTTCTTAATTGTCACGAAGAAAAAAAGCGACAAAAAGGTGATTGATCTAAGAGATCGACTTATCAAAGTGATATCCTGCTTTTCATAAGAAAGTTTAAACGTCTTTGAAAGAAATGTTAAAGATAAGAATGAATCATTATCACATGCTGGTGTCTTCTTAATTTATATGCTTTTCAAACACGAATCATTGTGTATATCCTTTCATATATTCTTCTTTTTATTTTATTTTCTTATTTTTTATTTCCTTTTTCTAATTATTTTAGAAATTATTTTCTTTTTTTAATCAAATCTTAAAAAAAAATTTTTAAGGAAAATTATTACATAAATTGTATTATGTACTTTTTATTGGTAATCGATTATTGAAAACTAAGTTTACGCTATCGCCATATAGAATGAATTCTATTAAATGACAAACTAAAATGTAGAGCGATTAACTTAATAAGGTTTTATAATTTTTATTTTTATTATTATTTCCGTACACATTTAATATACATATACACAAGAAGTAACTATACTCAATTGTTAATATTGAATCCCATCACAAGAAAATATAGAGCAAAGATTGTAATTTCACGAAGATAGATTTTGATTGCGAAATAAAATTCATTATGCCTCGTAACAATATCGAGTTGCTCTCTTTCGTCACTCTAAAAATTTCAATTTTTAAATATTTTTCACGCAATCCCAAGACATAAAACGATATTATATTATATATAAATCGATCATAAAAGCCGATCGATTTATAATCATGATTTTTATTCCGTTTAGCTCTTCATTTTTTTTCTTCTTTTTTTTTCTCTTTTTTTTTTGTGTGAATCACTTTGATTAAAAACGAACGTACGTACGTAGGTATGTTTTGAGTTGTTTTTATTTTTCCTTTCATATATATATATATATATATATACACGATCATATGTATATATATATATATACACGATCCAAGCGATAAAATTAACTCCTCCTGCGTACGCATATATGTAGATACATATTTGTTTATCTCAACATATTCGTCCCTCTAATGTACAATTTTTCAGATCGATAGAGAAATAGAGTAGATTCAAGAACTGTACAAAGCATGATTCAAACACACGAATGCAGAACGATACTAAATTTTTCGTCCTTTTTTTTTTCCTTCATCAACCCTTACGTACGAAAAAATGCAACATTCGTGTGTGTATATATATATGTAATATATAATATATATGTATGTAAAGCCTTTAACATCGTAAATCTTTATACAGGATCGTTAATAATTTCTTACAGCACGAATATAACGCATTATCAATGAATAATCCTCTCGAAATGTTCTATTTGATAATTTCTCGAAAATCATTAGTGAATTGTGCGTATGCTTCGAAACCGTAAGCTGATTGTAAAATGCATTTAAAGAATCTCATGTTTATCGGGTGAGAAAATAAGAAACACCCATTGATGATCATAATTAATCTGTTTTCTCCTCCTTCTTTTATCGTTTTTTCTTATTTATTTCGATGCGAGGTCGATCCTCTATTAGATTTTTCTCTTTGTATTTGTGTGTGTGTGTGTGTGTGTGTGTGTGTGTGTGTGTGTGTGTGTGTGTGTGTGTGTGAATGTTTTCATATGTGCTCTCCTTTCTTTTTTTTTTTTTTGCGTTTCTCCCTTTTTTGTTTTTCCTCTTCTTCCTTTACAAGACTTTTAAACCTCATAGGGCTTGGTAGCAGATACATGAAATGATTTCGAACCTTCCGCTATCGGTAATGCATATTTCTTGACATTGTGTACTTCATGCATCAATCCTTTCTTTATTTCAAGACTCTTATACGTACTATATACGACGAACCATATGTAAGAACTCGTGATAACAAATAACAACACGATCGCGCCTGAAATCGCACAAAGAAAGTTTTTAATCCATCGATCGCATGGTTCAACGAAGAAAAAAATAGAGGGAGGGAGAGAAAGAGAGAGAAAACCACCAAAGGAAAATTAATAATAATAATTGACAATTTACACATACGTTCGCAAATGTCTGCCTTTCCGCCGAGAATAGCGATGAATGGACAGTCTTGTTCAACCAGGAACAGGGATATGGTCAATGCCGATATTATCGTCATCATTACCATCATCCATGGTGCCATAAAATGACGATTGTTCTATAAATCAAATAAGACGATGTCTCTTTTGAAATGAATCTTTATATATCAGAGAAATAATAAAATATAAATGTAAATATTTTTACCGTTAATGCTCCGTAAAGCAAAAGGATCGTAGTCATGAAGTGTATCACCGTGATCACTAATCCACAATACATGGAATAAACGGTCTCTGAAGATAAATAAAAAAGAATATGATTAATTTAGAAGTTAAAAGATACTGGTACCAGTATTCTCATTTTGAGAAATATAATTTTAATTTTGTTTTTTTTCTTTTTTCTTTTTTTTACCAGTAGCATTATGGTGAGCCATGTCCATTTTTTTAGTATTGAGATGATTCGAAGATATATCCTCTAAAGCTTCTCTTTCGAGAGCATCCTCGGTGTCTCTTACCACCATTTCTTGAATCCCCATAGCGTGTGCCAATGCCAATACGAAAAACATCATACTAAATCCGGACATGAACTGAGAAAAGATGATTATTGTCATTAAAGTTTACTATAATATATGTTTTTTTTTTATAGTACTCACCAATTGTATTATAGCAATTAACACGGTACCTTGCCGGAGACTAAAGTAATATAAAAAGTTTTTCAGTAGTCCTACCTTCATCTTGTCTATTTTAAGTCTACTCGATCCTAATATAAGATAAAGAGAAGATTATTATTATTATTATTATTATTATTATTATTATTATTATTATTATTATTATTATTATTATTATTATTATTATTATTATTATTATTATTATTATTATTATTATTATTATTATTATTACTATTATTATTATTGTGTTATCTTTCCAATTTTTGTAAAAATACAAATTGATACATTTCATTTATTTAAAAATCATGAAATATTATTTATTACTACACAGAGGTGCTCACCACAGAGATAGCAAAAAGAAAATTATTCATTGATTAATAATCCTATTTTCATAGAAGAAGAAAGAAAAAAAAAAAGGAAGAAAAATTTTATGGATCAAAAAATTGTTAAGATCGAAGAGCAAGTGTATTAGAACGTCACTCACCTTAAGGAACACAAAAGAGTAATATGTATATTCGAAATATGAGTGAATAGATAAACTCTCGATTTGGTTGCTCCTTTCCACAACGTAAGAGAATCAATAACTTTCACTGTCTCCTAACATGAAAACAAAACATTCGACGACAATTTTGATGAAATCAAAAATAACAAGTAAAAGTTGATGAGGAAGGTGTTGTGTTCTAACCAATAAGGATATACACCCTTCTTCTTCAAAGATGTTTCTTTTTAAGTTAGCCCTAGATCTCAATGGGTTCATCGAATTATGTACTTAACTGCGTCCAGACCGCTCTGCGGAAAACGCAATTTTCTTTGGCTCGTCCGTAGGAGGGTAGACTGGGAAGGTGACCAAGAAAGTGGCCAGGAGGGTAGCTAGGAAGTTGCCTTTCTAGGGTAACTCCTCCGTGGCCCTCTGTGTCTTTCTACTGATCATACTGACACTGATATTTGCCTGTAAGCCCTCTTTACGCGCAGCCGCGTCACGATCCTTCAAAAGCTGCATTTCGCTCTACAATCGACCACCATTCCTTCTCTCAGACATATATCATTAAAGACTGATCAAGCAATTCCTTAGTCTCCTCGATCGTATCTATCGATTTTAATTATTTTATTATATCTATATATTTATTAAAGATATAAATAGATATGTAAATGTATAATAAATCACCTAGGAAAGTTTTTCCTATGGAAAAATTGAATAACTTTTTAGAGAAATAATTAATATATCACGAGAAATATGTAAATACATATTAGAAAATATTTTGTTTTGTTAAACAGCAACGTTAAAAAAGATATATATATATACATATATATATATATATATATATATATATATATATATATGAATATTTTTCTGAAATCTACTTTACTCCGAGATACAAAAAAAAATATATTATACGATTTTAAATACATTCGTAATATTCACTGTACGTAATGTGTAGACAATTTGTATTCTATGTAGAAATGTATTGAAAAATTCTCACATGTATTTCCATTTAGATAGTATCCCTCTTTATCTAAAAATCGTTTCCAATATTTTTTTATCTCTTTTTTTATGGACTAACTTTTTTTCTACATTACTTCTCTTCTTCTTTTTTTTTTCTTTCTTTCTTTATTAACATCTGATTCATCCTGTATATGCTGGTAAAATTCGAGACTTATTGATATTAGCTGTTAAATTTGATCGAAAGTTAGTTCGATTGAGTTGAGTCATCGAGTCGAAGTAGTCATAGAAACGCGCCGCGCGTGTGACGTTCGATCTCAACTCGAAGTGGAAAAGTGATCGTCCTTTTTGATTCCTCTTCATTTCTAACGTGATTATACACCTAGACATTAGAAAAATTTCTCTTTCGATAGCTAATTATATCTAAGTAAAAATGGAACGAAATTATCAAAAAGTTGGCATGGGTGTTGGAGCTTTTCATAATCCACCAAGAGGAAAATACAGCGAGGAAACGAAGAACTTAATTAAACGTGAGCCAAATTATCAATAATCGTTAATTAATTATAATTAGTGACTTCATAATTCAATTAAAATATGTTCATTCATCTTTTCATTATTTATCGAGATTTTGCACGATTAAACGATCCATGTGGGATATTTTTTATTATACAATTATCTTCCATTTAAACAATATTTACATACATAGAATATATAGCGAAAATAAAATAGATACTAACAAGTAGTTATGGATCCTTATTTTTTGGGGACAATTATTTTTGTCGTTAGTTTTGATGGAAGAATCGAAAGTAGGCATGAGTCAAAGGAAAGTTATTCAAGATGCTGTTAATAAAGGTGAATCTCTTCCACCATCTCGAAAATCTAATATTGGGAATAAGCAAAAATCGAAGGAACCTCAGGTAAACGTATATACCGATTTACATTGAAAATACAACGAGTGGGATAAATGATAACAAAAATAAAATAAAATAAAATGAAATAAAATAATTTCATTAGGTAATGTTTCCCAGTCTTTGGAAAAAACGCTCTCAGAATATGATCCTTAATAGTGGTGCTTATGAAAGGGAACAATATCGACGAACTGCACCCTTACGTAAGATATATAAAGTAGTAGTGCATGAAACATTAAAAAATGTTATGATATTTGGGAAAACGAGAGATGTTACGTTTGTTCGTAGCTAACAAGGAAAAACAAAAACGTCAGTTAGCTTGTTTAATGGCTTATGGAAAGGAAATGCCCGAAACTCCACGCGGGCCGAAAATTCTTCACAAAGCAAGAAGGGAACCTAAATTGAACAAAGAAGATCCCTTTGAATATAGTAAGATTTTATTTTTATAATTTCTTTTGAAAATATAATTCTTCTTTGTATTCTTTTTGTCACAGTTATCAAGGGAATACGCGAAAGAATGGAATTTTTGAATGATATGGAATGCCTTGGAATGGGTAAAAAGTATCGATCCATTATACAACAGGAGATAGCTCAAAAGTTTCGATTAATGGAATCCATTGATAAGGAGAGATCTACGGAAATTCGAAAAGAATTACAAAAATTTAAAGAGCAACGACCACCACCAAAACCATTCCCTTTGGGTGATTTAGATGAAAATTGAAGTAACTCTTTTCTTTGCTCTTATTATATTTTTAATACATTTAGATTAATAATGTTTATTAAAATATAGCATTGTCGTCGATATGATGATATTTTTTTCAATATATCAAGATTTTTGATTTACTTTATTATGCGCGTGTTTATTTATCTGTAATAAAACAAATTGGAAGACTTTCAAAGACGATAAATATTTTATATACACAGGAATATTTGACAGTGTATTTAAGGTAAACGTGTATATAATAAAAATGCTTATATATTTTTTTATTATAGGAATTATACTGATAATTTATATTCGAACATAATAAAGGGATATAAAAAAAATTTTAAAGAGAATATTGAATGTTTCAATTATCTCATAATTTACGAATTCGGCGCAGTGTTGTGCGATTGGTTAAGAAGCTTAGGACGCTCACCGCGAGAGGTCGCCTCCGTGGCGGGAGAAATAAGAACGGTCTGTCGCGTCGGCTAAAAGCGTTTGGTCTTCAGTTCAGCGCCATACGGCAATGGCGAATGGTGTTAATCGTTTTTATCATCAAGACCTCGATTATACGCAATATTTAACGCCGGCTATTCGTGCAAAGCGACACGAGTGTGCGCGTTCGACGATTCACGTGTACCCACGGAAGCAATTCTAACCTCAACAAAAAAGAACGCGAGAAGACACGAGAATCGTTTCGATCAGCTTCCCGGATGATCTACCAGTGAGAGCCAACATGGCGTCGACCGATCTGTCGTTCGGTAAACGATGAATTCGTGTCTTCGAAAGATCTCTCTTCTTATCTCTCTTTCTTTCTTTCTATCTCTTTCTTCCTGTTCATTCCTTTATCTATGAAATTCCATTCGATTTTTATCTTTGTTTAACGTATACTTTCCATGTATTTTCAATGACATTATAAAACTACTACGAGCGATCCTACTGTCGATTTATTTATTTATTTATTTATTTTTCTTTTTTTTTTTCTTTCGATCTTAATTTAATAAATAACAAGAAAATGATACGCTCACGGGATGACAGAATAAAGCACCGAGATAAATAACAAATGAATGATTAGCGGACGAATAACTGTGATTAGAAATTACTGTTAATGATACTCTTTGGACAAACGTAATATTGTACACGTTCACGGAAGTTCGTTGAAAACTGGTTTAGAATCGTTTTAAATGTCATCCGTTGGTTATCGTTATTTTATGTTATTTATTTCTCCTTTTCAATATCTCGAGATATAACCATTACAAAATATACTTTTCAAATAGGCTAACTCGATGAATATATATCTATGTATCCTTACAATAGATTTACTTACGTCACGAATACATTTTTGGCAATGTAACAGTTACATTACTTTGGAAGTAGTTTGACGTTATCAATTGAAATCCTTTGTGGAATGTAAATGTACGTCATTTTATCTTTGGACATTCGAATATGAGAAATATTAATGACATAAACATATTGAATGATCGTGCGATTATTTTCGGAATAAATTGATTTACAAATATCGACATAATTCAAAAGAAATAAATTTCATCTAGTCATGGTCCTTGTTTTTTTTTTCCTTTTTATTTTATTTTTCTTTTTTTCTTTTTCTATGTCGATGAAATAGAATGATAAAAATGATTGAATTAATTCTGCAAAAAAAAAAGAAAAGAAAAAAAAAATGATTTTCGAACGAACGAACGAGCTTTCGAACTCCATATTCAAGAACGTGATCCGTTATAATGAAACGTGAAAGTTATACGAATAACGGCCTAAATTAACGAGCCACGTTAGACAAGAAAGATATAGAAAAATTGCGAATGATGATTGTTATCTTTTAAAAAAAAAAAAAAAATCAAACATGTCATTAATGTCAAACAAGTCCATCAATTTTTCGTAAAATTTTTCGTAAAATTCATTGTTTATTTTTTGTGAAGCTTTTCATAAAAGTGTGCATTTGAAATGAACGAAATGAATTTTTTTTTTCTCAAGTGTTATCAGAAATGATTTAATTCGGAAACATTCGTAAGAGACACTTCGAAAAATTCTCATTTACTCACACTATCGATAAATTTCACCGTTCATTGACTTTCACTCATAAATATGAATGCTCCGTTATTACGAATTATTTAAATAGATTTTATTCGAATGGCAAGAACATTAATAAATTTCAAGTAAATGTTAAAAGTTATTGACCATTGCAATATGTATGTAATTATATATATATACACTACATTCGAAGTCGTTCGATTTTCGAATAAATTCGTTCGACATCTCCCGACTAACTGACAGACAAGATCATTCAGATTAGTTGTGTATTGATGCAAAAGAATGGATCGAAGAGAAGAATAAATAATAAACGATAAAATGAGATCGAATGATACTTCTGTTTGAAAATATTCAATCGAACATTCGTACATGCATTTGTCTTGACTCATTGTTATCTTTAATTTTGTAGTAACTACAGCTGTTACCACAATAAAAAAAAAAAACATGTCTCAACACTTCGATAGTTAGTATCATTCGAAAAAAGAATTCGTGGCCTTCTCGATAGGTCATGGTATATAAATTGAAAAATTGAAAAATTATCTTCAAATTCATTATCATAAAATAATTATGCAACGGTACAAAAAATTTCTATCGATCATCGTTAGATCTTACAAATTTATATATGCGAATATATTTATACGAGTAATCCTCTATAAAAGAAAAAGAAAAAGAAGAAAAAAAGAAAAAACATTGACTCTAAGTTAAACATACAAAATATTTGGAAAAAAAAAGAAAATAAATAAATTCGTTGATTCGCAATTTCATTTTACTTTCTACTTTAATATACGGTATAGGGACTCGAGCAATGATAAAAGATATAAACAATTTGTCGAGGTTGCATCGCGTGATATCGAGAAAAAACAGGTTTTCCAATGGCGCCTACGCCATTTATTGTCTTCCCGTCGATTAGTCGATCCTCTTCGACCGGTTCCATACTCCTCTAACGAGTAAACAGGACGAGAAACGATCGAGGACGATTTCTTTTACTGTAAATACATGGTCGAAAAAAGATTCGAATGTTCCCTTTGCGATTTTTTTTTTTTTTTTTTTTTTTTTTTTTTTTTTTTTTTTTTTTTTGTTACAAATTTCATAAGAAAATAGCAATAAAAAAAAAAGAAATGTACACGCGCACTTTGGAAATTTTATATTATTTTCTTTTAAAAAATATTAGGCTCTATACCAGCCTTCTACAGAGAGGTCTACGAGAAGATCTGTTCACCTACAGGTGGAAATGTCGAACGAGAAGTTTTTAAATCCCTTCTCGTCAAGTCTCAGCTGAGCAGCTCGGTCCTCAGTCAGGTAAGCGAATGCCATCATCATCTCCCTTTTCTTTCTTTCCTTCTTTATTTCTCTTTCTCTCTCTTTCTCTCTCTCTCTATCTCTCTCTCTTTCTTTCTCTCTTTCTCTTTCTCTATCTCTCTTTCTCTTCCTGACTTTAGTAGCAACTCTATCCAGTCTACAAAAAAGGAGAGTCTCCTCTCCGTTTTAAAGTAACGACGAAGTCATATGAAAGCGATCGTCTTGTTTATTTGATTTTAATGTTTGATTTTTTTTTAATGTTGAATTTTTTTTCTATCTTTTTTCTTTTTTAGTCTTTTTTATTAATACATAAAATCGAATTACATAATATTTAAGAAACGGTTTTTATAGGATTGACATATTCCAATTTTATATGAATATATATATATATATATTTTTTTTTTGTTTTTTTTTTGTTTTATATATACAAAAAGTATTCACTCCAAAGTATCCACTACAGGATTATTATGAAATATAATAATTTTTACGAAAAACACCAAAACCGGTTTTTTATTTTTTATTTTAAAAGGTGACAGGTAGTATCATAAATTTACTTACTAAATTCATAAAAAGAATAATAAACCCTCTTAAATGGCTACAAAGAAAATGCATTTCGAAGGATCTGAATAAAAAGAATTTTTATTTTATTATATGTTCAAAATATATATCGCCTATCTCCGTGCAGCGAGTGGGAGACGTTTATATAATGTTGTATGATCGGAAAAGATATTGACTCTTTAATGTTTAATTGATTTGTTAGAAAAATATTTTAGAAAAAAAAAAGAAAAAAAAAGAAAATATTTTATCAGATATTAGATAACTATTAATTTAGGTGAACATTAAAACGGAAATAATGGAAAAAATTATATTGGCGTAATATAGTTGTTGCGAAAAATGTCATAAACAATTGGATTGTTTTATTGCATATTATATGACATTAAATTGATTAATAGTTTGTAAAATTTTACATCTTTGATCATCTTACATAATTGCATTGTGAAAGGTTAATGAATGCTGAAAAGAATGAAAGAAAAAGAAAAAAAAAGAAGAAACTTTGGAATAGTTCTGTGATGGTGTATGTATATTGACGGTAACTTATCATTTAAAACGCCCGTCGATGATAATACATACAAACGCCCCTTCATAATAGTGTAAGATTATTCTAGCGAATGCAGGGTCGTTCATAACGTCATCACACGTCTCGTTACTAGCATAAATACGAGGGAGAATATATATTTTTATATACTACGACTCGTCTCTGTTATCCATTAGAACGAAAGAAAATTGAAGAATAGTGAATAGAAATTTTTCATAAAAAGTTTGGTTGTTCTTAGTTATTATTATTATTATTGTTATTATTATTATTATTATTATTGTTGTTATTTCTTTTTTTATTTTTATTTTTTATTTATTTATATAATCCAACATAGGCGAAGCTATCTTTCGTAATCATAAATATGTTGCGTGTCGTTGAAGTTCGTATGGTTAATAAAACGCACTACTTATACGCTTCCCGAGCATGTAAGCCAACCATAATCACGATTCACCGATAAAATTTATGCACTCGAGCGAAGATCTTCATATAACCGTATATTATATTCTTTTTTTATATTATATTGCATTATTTTTAATAATATGTACATATTTATACATTATTATTTTATATTTATATATACTATAGTATATATACTATAATATATATATAAATGGTATCGAAATCAAGAATTCGACCGTAGCAAATCATAATATCTCGTATATATTAATTCATAGTCATCGATATTTCAAATTATAAAATAGCAAACAATACCTAAAAATATTCGTTTCATGATCGATCGATCGATCGATCGATTTGATCAATCTCGTTGTTTTTTTTCTCACTGTGAGTCTTGTTACAAGACCGCCCTACCAATACATCCTGCCTTCCTGTTAGGTAAAATCGTTTGATCGTCGTCTTCCGTGTTAAAGCGTATCTATTCGTATATGCATATAGATGCAAAAACAGATTAAAAACATACGAACAATAAATATTCAATATTTCAACAAAATATTTATGCTTAAAAGTATATATTATATTACATATGCAGCTAACGTGTATATATTCAAAATTAATCTCGTTTTATTGATATTTTCGTCGAATATTTTTTATTTTGCTATCAAATTTATGAAAAAAAAAAAAAGAAAGAAAATTATTTCTACAGGTCGAGCTAAAAGTTCTTAAATGATTTTAAAATATCAATTATTCTTTTTCAAGATTTATTGGATTAATTTTTTTTTTTTCAAATTGTAAAAGAATTCCTAGATTTGTAATATAACAAACTAAAAAAAGAAAAGAAACATTAATCAGAAAAGTCTGCAAGAAGAGCAATTGATTGTTAAAAGTCATCTAGGAATTTTTGATTCATCCTATATATATATATATATATATATATTTATACATATATATAGTAACTCTTGGTGAACCTGTATTTTGTTATTAGAACGCAAAGAAGGGATCACGTAACGACAAAATGATAATACTAGTAGTGTATTCCGACTCGTTACGACGACGGCAAATTACGCAGATTGTCGCATTCGCGAGATAACGACGGTCGTATCTTTTCGTTGTGATAAACGTTTAAATCTCCTTGAGATTTAATTTAGAAAAGAAAAGAAAAAAATATATATATATGTATATATATATATATATATATATATATAAAATATGAAAAAAATATATATATATACATATCGAAATTACATGAGATCAAGTCGTATCGTCGACGTATATTTATTTGCTATGACTTCGTTCATTAGTTCATTCGTTCGTTCTTTCGTCGAACAGAACCTTCGACTTTCACGACTTCCACTTCTCATACGGCTTTTAAACGATTGCTATTCATTTATGTTATCTCATTTGGCACGTTTTTCTAACATCAAACTTTAATTGATCCTATTTTTACATTGATTTATTTTTTTTTTTTTTCAATCTAACATTTTCTCTCTCTCTCTGTATCCTAATCAATTTTTATATCTTTATTTTTCTCACTGTATTATAATCGATTTATTTTTATTTACTAATATTACATTTATCTTTTTATATCTTAATATATGCATATATTTTTTTTTTCTAAACATTCTATATACTATAAATATACTTTTAAACATATTTTTATTTTCCCACAGTGTAGTCAACATAAATATTTTTTTCTTCCTGTATTCTAAATAATCTATATATGTATAATATACATGTAGATTATTTATCTACATCTAATTATCTATATATGTGCACGCACGCACGTACGCACGCACGCACACACACACACACATACACATACACATTTTATTATCATAATCAATTCATACTCGTATATACATATATGTTTTTTTAAGCAAAAGAAAGTTGTTTTCGAATTACACGCTAAAGTTGCAGTAACGTAAAATTTTTTTACCTTTTTTTTTTCTTTTTTTTTTTTTTTTTTTTTGTTTAAACGAAACACGTGAAAACGTGCTCTTTCATTGTTGCTATACATTGTGATTCGCGATGATAAACGATTAAGAGGTGTATGTAGAGGATGATACGTGACGTACGCGAGCATGTCGAAGAAACTACGTGCGTACCAAGCAACGAGCGACACGGATGTGTTGTTAAACACGCGAAATAAATCTTGGAGAATCTTATTTCTCTCTTTCTCTCTTTCTCTCTTTCTCTCTTTCTTTCTTTCTTTCTTTCTCTCTCTCTCTCTCTCTCTCTCTCTCTTTCTCTCTCTCTCTCTCTCTCTCTCTCTCTCTCTCTCTTTCTCTCTCTCTCTCTCTCTCACTCTCTCTCTCTCTCTCTCTCTCTCTCTCTCTTACTCACTCTATCTTTCTTACTTGCTCCACCGAAATATAATTGAAATTATTTTTTATCCGCTAGATTACACTATAATCTTACATTTTTTTTTAACATCTCTCAGACTAAAATAATTACTTGTTGTCTGTTATATAAATCGTGATAAATAAATTGACTTGAATACGTCAATGAATGCAAACCCGTCAAAAAGTTTTTAAAAGATCTTAAAAACCAATTACTCTTCCATGAGACTCTTTAGGTTGATTTATTCCTTTGCCGATTGTATTGTATAGTTATAAGTTTAATTGTTTAAAATCTGCAAAAAACACAAAAACTTAATTTAAAAAATGTAAAAAAAAAAAAAGAAGAAAAAAAAAGAAAAACGTGATTGATTTTTAAAATTACAAAGTTTAGAAACTTTTGTCGAAAGGCATATCTGACGTAAATAAACAATGCCTAGGGCAAATGCGTAAAATGCGGGCTCCCCTCCTTCCCAATTCATCTTCGTTTCTTTTACATACATATCATTCCAATCGTTTCTCTCTCTCTTTTTTTTCTTTTTTTTTTTTTTTTTTTACAGTTTCACTTTTCACAATTTCGTTTCTTATCAAATTTACTCTAAATTAATTTTCTTCAACTCGAATTCTTTTGAATTTTTTTTCATTTACTCGACATCGATACTCAGGACATATGTTTTAGTTGGTCCATTCTAAATACGTCTCTACGCCTGTATTTATATGAACTTGTTAATCGTAATCTAAATTATAATTAACATTGTCCTCTTTCCAATGATCCATTGATCTTGAACTTTAATAAATCGCTATATTTAATTTTGTTTAATTAATCTAGTTATTTTTATATAAAGCAATAAATACGTATTTAGATATTGCATTATTGCGTAAAGTCAGAAATTGTTATTGTACGGTTAACAAAATGGATTGAAATTAATTTACTTAATTGAGTTCGAAGTTGAGTGTGTTGAGTTCAGAACAACGAAGATGATTTAATTTTTCAGTCGATGAGAGGAGAAGGGAGGAGGGAGAGAGAAAGAGAACGAAAGAGAGAGAGAGAAAGAGAAGAGAGAGAGAGAGAGAGAGAGAGAGAAGAGAGAGAGAGAGAGAGAGAGAGAGAGAGAGAGAGAGAGAGAGAGAGAGAGAGAGAGAGAGAGAATGACGACTTTTTCCACACAACACGAATAGATAATCTATTTTTATCGGGGGCTCTTCTCGCGATGAACTTGATCGACGATTAAGGTTTAATGACACTCGTGAGCGAACGACAAGAAAAAACAAGGGTTCAAGCTTCAAGAACAAACGAGTATTAGTATAAGTACAAACAAAAACTTCGTAAAAGAAATTAGATGCTCGAATAAATTTTTATTTAAACGTTTATAAATAACGTCACGTAACTTAAATCAAAGTTACACGTTAATTCATTTTATTTAATAATTTTTATCAAAAAATTCATTGTCAGTTCATATTCTTTTTAATTCATTGTTAGCTCATATTTCTTTTATTCTCTTTTTTTTTTGTTTTTAATAATCTTAAGTTTTTGATAATCGTATGCACTGGGAAATTGACTTCTCAATCGAGAACATCAATTTTAAGTATCAAGTTTAAATGCAACTAGCGATCTCAATGCCGTAGGTCAAAAAGTTCACGTTTTGTCGTGTACAAATATTAATTACTATACTTATACTATTACAAACTGATACTATAATATTCTCATTATACAAATTAGTTATATATCTTATTTAACTTTTTTTTTATCGCGAAATGAATAGTTTCTTTATGTACGAAAGTTACTTTTTCCTAATTACATAAGTATTGCTTATTAGTTAATTATACTAGTATAAATTGTATGTACTATAATTTTCACATTATGTGTAACTTTTCTTGTTTGTTTTAACTTTTCTTTTTAGATGCCAACAAAAAGAACAATTAAATTGGAAAAGATTTAATTAAAAATTACAGTCATAATATGATCTTCTTCTTCTTTTTTTTTTTTTTTTGTTATTATTTATTTTTTCCTTTTTCCATCAAGACTTTGTTCATCGAAATAGCTAACTCTAATTGACGTGTATTCACTTTACGTGTTATGCTCTTTATGTAAGAAGCTGTCAGTGTTGTTAAGGAGAAGGGGTGAGGTAGGGATATGAAACGAGTGAGAATGGAGCAAGTAGAGGGGGAATGGAACGGCATGGTAGAAAAATCATCGGAATGCAGTTACTTTCATTTGTGGCCTAATGCTTAAGCGACGTTCACAACAAATCGAAATAACATATGCATACATATGCATCTGCTTATATCCATGTAATAATAAATTAAAACAATTTTTATTTATTTCATCTAACAATCAAACGTTAAATCAATATCAATCTTATTATTTCTTCTCGAATGAATATTGTGAAATATTATAACAGATACGTTGATTATTCATCCATTATCTTAGGTAATATTAGTCATTCTTTATGAGTCAAGCTTTAGGAAGAGATTCATGAATAAGAAACGTATTGACGATGAAAAATAAATCTTTACATACCATTATATATATACATATATATATATGTGTGTGTGTGTGTGTGTGTGTGTGTGTGTGTGTGTGTGTGTGTGTGTGTGTGTGTGTGAATTAAAAAAATAAAAAAAAGAACAAAACATTAATTTAAATTCGTAACATATTAATGAATATAATCGAATGAAAGGATATTGTAAATATTAAAATTTTTGTATATTTGGATTTGATCGTATAAAATTATATTAATAATCAAATATTACATAATAGAACATAAGAGGAACAAAGATTTTCTGTATGTGAAAAATAAATTTAAATAAAAAATATCGTTATCTAATACTCGATTGAATTGTAATATTGTAAATTAAAAGATTGTACATTCTCCAGATATGGGAACTCGTGGACAGTAAGACGGGTTATCTCACGAGGAGTGGATTGTATAAGGGCCTTGCCCTCGTCGCCTTTGCTCAACAAGGAAAGCAACCAAGCGACAAGCTTCTGGAAAACTCCGAATCTCAAGGTGAGAGATCGATTTGTTCTATGATAAATCGTACATGTCTATCGTTTCGCATTAATGTATCTTGAAGAGAACGAAACAAAAAAAAGAGAAAAAAAGAAATAAAAAGATTAAAAAATAAAAAAAAAGGAAAGAGAAAAAATGCTTACTTGTTTTATTATAATTCTATATAAAACTTCCATGTGAGTCCCATGTAGTTCGAGATAAGTGTAACATAAGAATGTTATCGGACAGGTACTTGGATAACGCTTTAACAGTCACCTAAGTGTGCCAGTATACATAAATTAGACTCACCGTTTCCGTTTAGGAATATCTGAACAAACACCTCATGTGTAGACTATGTAGAATCTACAGTCTCAAGTGCAATACAATGAAGAAGTAGGATAAAATATAATAAATGAAAAAAAAATTTTTTTTATTTTTTTTATTTTTTTTTTTTTTTTTTTTTTTATTTTTTTTACTCTTTGTTTTTTTTTCTTTTTTTTTTTTATAATCGTGAGTTTTTGACAATGGAAAATTGACTTCTCAATCGAGAACGTCAAGTTTAAATGCAACTAGCGATCTCGATGCCGTAGGTCAAGAAAGTCCGTGAGTATCGAGGTTAAGACGATAGCGATTATCTTTCACGTCGCGTAAAAAAGTAACAATGCCAGAGGAAAATCTTGGTTATCTGAATAGCGTGTTTTATGCCCGTATATTCAGTATTTTTCTGAACTTTCTCTGAATGTCTGTAATTCTAGAAAAATCACGTTACTCTTTAATCCTTTTACAAATGTACATATTTGCTGTATTACGATATAAATATGAATATGTATCAATTAATATAATATAGTTCAATGAACAATATAATATTTAGTTTTTCATGGAATTTAATCAATAAAAATTATCTCCATTATTTAATATGTTTATGTATATATATATATATATATTTAAATTTCTAAATAAAAAAATCAGGCATCAAAAAATTAAAATGCAAAATGTTTCTATGCGAAATTATCAGTAATTATTATTGCAATAATGAAATTAATGAAAAATTTATGCCTTCATATCAACAGAATTACCTGTTCCGGTTCTCGGCGATTTATCGGAAGTGACGCTATTAGCTCAAAGACTGCACAGAGGTAACAATCCTGCGAAACTGAATCTCACCTATACCGACATATGCAATTTAGACACGATAGAGGTCAACTTGGTACCCGAGAAGAAAGGTATCTTTTTAAAACACGTGGAATATCAAGTTACAAGCAAGGTAACAATTCACAAAGTAATTTTAAATAAAATATTACGATCGATGTTATTTTATTTTTTTTCCTTCTCTATTTTACAGCGATTTAGTTCCGTAGTTTACAGACGGTACAACGATTTTGTGTCACTGCACGAACTTCTTCTGGCGAGGTTTCCTTATCGATTGATACCGAAATTACCACCAAAAAAGATCGTAGGAGGTAACGTATATCCTATGTTATAACATACATTCCGTGTATGTGTGTGTGTGTGTACATGCGCGCGACCATGCATATGAGTCATAGAATAATTATCTCAAGTTTAGATATATCGAATTGTGTAATGTAATAATATGAATCATTCTTTACAGCATTTTTATGATTGTTAATATTATATTAAATTTTAATCCTTGAATAATATCGGCAGCCGATTCTCAATTTTTGGAAGAACGAAGACGATCTCTTCTGAGGTTTTTAACATTGATCGCTCGTCATCCAGTAGTGAACAAGGATCCGATTGTACATTTCTTCTTCACTTACACCGGCGAGGAGACTCAGCATAAGATACGCGAAGTTTTCCGACGAGTTCCGGACGAATTCGCGACCTCTGAATTATCCTCCAGGGCAAAGGAATTAGTACCACCAGAAACTCTTACGGAATTTGCAAATAGCAGAGATCAGATAAGAGTTATACTATTAGGTATATCACGTTTGAAAAATATAGCCGACTGTTTGGCTATTAGATCTCATAGTTACGCCGTTGACATGGCTGAATTGGGAACGCAATTGAACAATTTGGCTTCCGAGCCACATGGTGCTAGCTCTTGGGTCACCGGAGGTTCTACGATCTGGCAGGACATGAAGAAAGGTTTCCATGTTATTTCAAAGTGAGAATAAATCTTTCCGTGATACCACGTATGTTACTTTTTTTTTTTTTTTTTAAAGAATCTTTAAAAGAGATAACGAATGTTTTAGGGAATTTAATCTATTGTCCACGAGAGCATTGCAACAAGCAGTTAGAGAAGAGACTATGATCTGCGAGAGACTGAACTTTTTGTTAGATATTCTCGTAGCTCATAGAATATTATGCGAAAGACATGAAAGAGGTGTTAGTGCTGATCATCAACGTGCGTTATCGACAATGTTGTCTCTAAAAAAACGACAAATGCAAGGAGTCATTCGTGGAACTGACGTATGTATAAAATTTCTTTAAACTGGACCATCTTTAACATTACCTTCTTCTCAATATACCTCAAATAATTTTTTGTTCAATATATCATATTTCAAATAACTTTTTTTTCCGTATAAATTTATAATATGCACTTTAGACTATAGACTTTCCTGTCAACCATCACTTTATCTTTATCATTTCATTTTCTGATTTATTACGGTCAGGCTGATACAGTTGAGTACCTGGAAAATAAAATGGTTGCTCAAGAATCCGTTATTGCGAACGTCGAACTAAGGAATTGTTTTTCATTGCATTGTTTGCATATGGAAACACAACTCGTTCATGCTCACTTGGAAATACTCGCCACAGTCTTACAAAGTCTTGTAAGCGTGCAAATAAGAGGACACTCCGAGGTAAGAAACTTTAAATGTAGCATTTAACGATAATGTATCAATTATTATTATAATTATTACCATTAATGAATTTTTTTTTTTTTGTATTTGTTATGCAATCCAATGGATTCGAGGTAAAAAGATCCATGGCAAATTCATGATTAAAATCATATGCATAACATTTAATCATTCATTCATATTATGTTAAAAAAATTTTATATTTGTTATTAGTTAATACGTGTATTTGTAGCTTGCCGAGGTATGGAAGTTAATAGAGCCTACGATTACAAAATGCTTACCGGAAAAGTCAGCAAGCGGATCAAACGGAGTGTCATAGCAAACAAAGAACTTTTTAATTGTTTCGTCCTTAGTGATATCATTCGTACAAACGATAGGTAACGAACATGACTGACATATAAATTCAGGATAGGTGGCATAACGCGAATCCTCTGTTAACGAGAAATATCTCGTGGAATTAATTTCGTTTTGCAAAACAGATAACGAACGCTCGATCAATTATTATCCTATTTAATAGGATTTAGGATTAAGTTTTCGAGATTCATCTTTTTTTATACAGTAGAGCCTCCCGTATTCAAGCACCCATTATTATTCCGAATACCCTAAGTCTACATGTACCCTGTAAACTAGAGTCATCGATGATCATATTCAAGGCAATATATGAGTATTATTAGAAAAATACGACTCTCCTGGTTGCCACGATCAGTGAAATAAATACAAGCATTCGCACTACAAGCAACTATTTTGGATACCAGACACCGGTGAATGTAATTCTCAAGGAGTGTAAGACATTATAACAATGAATTCATTCAGCTAATGAATACAGTTCCGGACAAAATTAATTTTCTTTGTTTCGAAACTCTAAAATATCCTCGTTTAGAGAACGAAAAATCATTTCAAGTGACCGTGACAAAAAGAAATTTATACTTTCTAATATCTTCAAAAAATTCTTCAAAAATTTCTTTTTTAAATATTCCTTCAATATTCCTGTAATAATGGATTTACATAATATTAGTTTTTATTTCTTTTTTTTTTTTAACTATTATTATAAGAATCTCCTTGATATCCATTCTGTTCGACCGTTGCTAGAATACTAATTCAAGTCGTCAACAATACGCATACAGTTTAATATCTTGAATTCCTGTTCTACTATCCGAACAGGATGTCTCTTAGCAACAGATGCCTTCTGTCGCAAATGCATACATACATACAGCATGCATATATACATAATACATATGTAGTATGCATACTATATATATTTCCTTCTGTTCGACCGAGCAAATTCTGATTGTAACAATGTAGTAACAGAGTACAAGTGTGACTATAGCAACTAAGCGGAAACAAATTAAATTTTAACATCAGAAAAGTGATTATTCTATTATCTGAAAGCTATTGTCTTTCAATTGATTCGAGAGACTCTACTGTATTTCACTTTTTAAACAATAGTCGCTCGCTTATACGATCTTAATGGTAAAAATGCGAAAATATTTCGAATTTTTACCGAAAAAAAAAATTAAGATAGTCGAATATAAATAATTCATGTAAGTTTTATGTACAAAGTTCATTGCACACATCACGAAAGAAAAGGAAAAAAAATGAAAAAAAACAAAAAACAAAAAAAAACAAAAAATGATCGATACAATTTCCGTATAAGTTAAGAGAGAGAAATAGAAAAAACATAATAATATACGGAAGAATTGTATATATAGTCGAAGAAATTTCTAAGCATTCCTTGTTATGTACTTAATATATTTTATTATATATAAAATAATAACCGTGATATTTTTAAGAAATTAACGATCTATTGTATATAAAAAAAAAAAAAAATTAAGAGTATGTAAAAATATAAAGTGTATCATAGACGTGTTAGTGAAAAACAAATCCATGGCATCTGAAATCGCCGAATTGTAAATATGATTTTTTTTTCTTTTTTTTTTCTTCCGTGCTGAACGAACATATATATATATATATATATATATATATATGTGTTACTAAATTGAAGAGACAAGAACGTCCTTTACTCGATCTTGTGTCACCACGTTGATCGTGGATATTTGGGCATTTTACACACTTTTATACCGTACTCGATTTTATTCTGTAAGATTAATCAAATATATTGTTAATACAGAAAATTAATGTATCTTTTATTATATTAACATGATCGATCGTTCGGATTAACTAAGATATTGCACAAGATTATTCACGATTATACTTCGTTCGATTAACGCCACCGTCAATTCTACGTTCGTTAAAGGCACTAAGAAATTTTACAGAAATTCACTTAAAATACGGAGTGAAAGAAAGAATAGTGCCGCGTTCCAATCGATAGTCAGAATCTAAAAGGCCGAACTGCGCATAGTAGAAGAGCATGACAAACATGGCGCGATATAACCTCAAAGCTAAAAATGAAGCAAACTCATGTTCGACCACCTGCGATCAGCTGACCTCTCGACGCCATATTAAAATATCTATGACCAAATCGTTCGCTGATTGGTTTAGAATTTTAATCGAGCGAACGCAGCGACAGATATTTCGAGCGGTCGATTCGTGCGAAATCCAAAGGCGATTGCGCGATGCATTGCTGCGCCGTGATGCGCATAGAGCGCAGCAGCGATGATTCCCAGGTATCAGTGCGATGGCGACCAGAAGGGCAAGAGGTTCGGTGTATCGTTGATTTTCGTTTCATTTCTCAGTAGTGAGGCGTGCGAAGGAGATACTACTCCATATCGTATATTGTCGTCGTTAATTTGTCATCAATAAATTCGTCTTAATAAATACGTCATAATGGCCGCGACTTGAGGGATCGTTTGCTCGTGCATGTGCGAGCTTTTTTTTGCCATCGAGTTACGTGAAATACGAGAGGGGAACGCGTACGAGAAAAAAAGGAAAGATATTGAAGTAGAGAGGAGGTGTAGGAGAAGGAGGAAGAGAAGGAAAAGAGAGAGAGAGATATATATATATAGAGAAAGAGAGAGAGAGAGAAACGAAGAAAAGGAAGCAAGGCATAAAGGAGAGAAGGAAGACGAGAGAGAGATAGATAGATAGATAGATAGATAAATAGATAAATAGATAGATAGAAAGAGGGAGAGAGAGGGAGAGAGAGAAAGAGAGATAGAGAGAGAGATAGATATCGTGATAGAACGTGAGGAAAGAACGACGAAGTTTAGGGTTGTCGCGAGTGCGCGTGGGTGGGCGAGGCGTGTGCACACGGTGCGAGAGAAGAGGAGAGTGTCGCTAACGAGTAAGATTCTTTACGAGAAGTTGTTGAAGGACGGTGGAGACGAAACGAGACGGCAACAGCAACGACAACGGCAACGGTAATAACGACAACTGCGACAACCATCATGAGCGACGATAGGAGTGAGGACGATCCTATAATGGATCTTTGGTATAGTAATTGGGAACAACAGTGCGTCGAGGCCCTCGAGGCTGAACCGGAATATGAAAATCAACTGCACAACGTCAAGGAGATCTATTCGCAGCAGATGTGGACGAGCTTCCAGACGACGGCGTCGGCCATCGCCCAACTCTATAAAGGCGAGCTTCTTCTGCATACCTACATACTATATGCATACATATGACGTTCTATCTTCTTTTCGTAAAGACGAAGGACGTAGAAGGAGAGAATGAGCAGGGACGAAAGGAGTGAGAGGATAGAAAGAGACCGAGACAAAGATACATCGACTCGTCGTACTTGATTGACGCTGACATCCATTTTGATAAGACGTTCTTTCTCATCATACCTCCCTATCTCTCTCTCTCTCTCTCTCTCTCTGTCTTGCTATATATATATATAAATATATATATATATATATATATATGTATACATATATAACCCTCTCTCTTTCTTTCTTTCTTTCTCTCTCTCTTTCTCTCTACCCTCTTTTTCTTATTCTTTGTCTCTCTTTCTCTTTATGCCTCTGTCTCTTTCTTTCGTCTTTAACGGAATCTCTATTCTACCCTCTTGATTCTCGGCGCACATGTATCGATCCAATCGTGCTGTAACCAGTTCCCTTTCGCGTTTCTTATTTTGCAGATCGTACTCAGGGTGTCTCACTATGGCTACCCTTCCAGACAGCTGCGGGTACCGTCACGTCATTGTACAAAGGTGCGTGCACTTTCTTGGATGATCGCTTTGTTGTCAACACGTTGCGTGCGGGGGAGTGGGGGAGAGAGAGAGTGTACGAGAAGGAAATCAAACCTCTTCTAGTCCCTCTTCGTTGTCGTCGGGTTCTTACGTTTTCTTTCTTTCTTTCTTTTTTTTTTTTTTCTTCTGCCTCATCTTTTATTTTTCTTTTCTTTTTGTTTTTCTTAATATTCTTTTTTCTTTCTTTCTTTCTTTCTTTTTTTTGTCTTTTTTTGTCCTTTTTCTTCCCTCCGCCCCTCCCACCCTTTCTTTTCTCTCTTTATCTCTCTCATTCTGTTCATCTTTTTTTATTTATCGTTTGTTTTTCTCTCTTCCTCCCACTTACTAACAGCCCGTTTGGTTTAGCTGCCTTGTCTGTGCCTCCTGCATGAATGCCTGTTTGCTTATTTGCCTGTCCTGCTTATTTGCCACTCCTCCCACATCCACCCTCGCACGAGCACGAACGATGGGTTCTTCTTTCTTTGTGGCAATCATCGCGTACGCACGTTTTCTCATTTCTTTGTGAATATTACGTGTATGTGTGTGTGTGTGTGCGCGCGTGTGTGTGTATGAGTTGCGTTATTGCGCGAGACCATACAGCTGACTAGTGTCGAAGGTCAGCTGTTATACGACGAACTCGTTCTTTGCCCTCGTGGCACGTTCTTCGAGAAATTGGAAAACTCAACGATGCATGTTCTCCAACGTGTATTTTTCTTTTTCTTTTGTTCAAGATAGTTATATGTATTATATGGATTTTTTTTTTTTTTGTAATATGTATTATTTGTGTATTATTTGTGTATTATTTGTGTATTATTTGTGTATTATTTGTGTATTATTTATCAATGGAAAGTATTCTATAAGTGATCCAACAAATTGATTTGTATTTGTGCATTTTTATAAATGTGTCTGTCATACGTTGGAGAATCATCCTCAGATTGAGTTTCAATAATTCATGCATGTTAATTTGGATTCCTTTGAACAGATTCGGTCGATAGTATGCGACGGTGCAGTGAACTAGGGATAGAAACAGGAAAACAGAAACGTAGCAAAGAAATAATGAACTGGGCTAGGAAAAAGAGGCGCATGATCCGTAGAGAAGATCTTTTAGCGTATCTTGCTGGTAAACCACCTCCACCAAGACCACACTCGCACAGGTTAAGATTTATATAAACATATTTTTTATAATGGAATAATTCATTAGTAGTTATGAATTTAATCATAGAATGTCATACCCTATATATATATATATATTTTTTCTGATACGTTGTTGTATATTAACTTGCAAGCAAGTATATATTACGACAAGAATGAAAATAATTTATATTACAGAAGTTCTCCGAAGCCAAGGATGATGGTATGCGGTTCTTCTCCTTCGCAAAGTCCTACGCAAAGTATGGTAGTGTCACAAACTTCGACACCTGGAATAGATTTGGATCCCGAATTACACACATTTAGAGAAGCGATTGCATTGTCTGGTAAGGCCTATTGTATCTTGTAAATTCATTTATTAATTATAACGAGCTTCCTTCTTTGTTTACAAACTCTGTTGTAGGTGGATGGAAATTCAAAGTGCATTCCTATATGATATTCATAATTTTCTAGGCTCATCAGTGTCTAGACGTACCGGAAGGCAAGCAGAATTATCCGCTTTTATAAGCAACGAATTTGCTCGGCATCACAAACGACCTGCTTCGCATGATGTGGATATGGGATCTCCTACGCACAAACGTTCGCGTTTCATGTAACGGCGCGCGACGTGTAAAGTAGCCTCACTCCCTTGTTCCCTATTAATTAATCAATTGATCAATTAATTACTAATGGTTCAGCTCCCCTACGTGGTTCTCCCATATAGGAGTAATCGTTTCGATACGACGGCAGTGGTTTACATTGTCGCGCGAGTACGTTCGTCCGTATCTCGGTAATCTTCCAATAAAGTCACGATTCTTCTTTAACTCCAAGATAATTCTATATTTTTGGAGTTACGCGACATAGGAAGATATTGAAATTGTGCCGTACCAAAAAGTGATATTTATATTTAGTTAAGGTCTTGTTTTTTCGATCTTATGTTTGAATCGACTATATATATATATATATATAATATACATATATATATATATAAAAGAAGGAAAAAGGAAAGATCTTTCTTTCTCTCGTGTCGTGTCATGTCGTGTCGTGTCGTGTCGTCGTCGTCACGTTTCATCACATCTTGTTATTTGTTTTTGTTTGTAAATTATTGTTTTGCTAATATATACGTAAATATTTACCGACGATCACCAACGAACGTACGGCGATACTATTCAAAGTGCCCATGCAGAGAAAAGATCACGTTGCGTTTACGTACGATAAGTTTATATACGAGACTATATAGTTTTATGAAGTCGACGAAAATATTAAGCACTTTGTCAAAAGTTTTGAAGAAATGTAGAGAGGGAAGGAAAAAAAAAAAAAGAAAATATTGCTTTAATATATTGTACACATGAAATTGTGTATACGAAAATATTTAGCGCAATCATAATGGAAATTTAAAAATTTTTCAAACATTATATAATAACAACTTGTTGGAAAAGTTTGGATGAAATTTTTCATATTACGACGATTGACATTTTGTAGTTATTTTACTGCCCAACGTCGTAATCGCGAGAAGAAAGGGGGGACAAGGAGAATATGTGATCGTAAAATATTATTTCATAACCCAAAGGATCGTTAGCTCTACTGATCTTAATATTGTTATAATTATTATGCGGTTATAGATAAATTTGAAAGAAATTTGGACATTTTTTAACACAATAAAAATATTATTTTATACAGTTTTGTTGGCGATAGATAGAAGTCAAAGTAAAATAATGAGAGGAAGATTATAAGTTGAGAAGAAAAAAATCTGGGAAGGTTTAAGAAGAAAGAAAGAAAAATGAAGGTTTAAAAATGTATTGATAATATTCAGAATTGTCGGTATAATGTTAGTGTTTCGGATAAACATCGTCAACGTCAAAGAGAGTAATTCATATATATTGTTGATTGTACCTTCCGTACGTCCGAAACGAGTTCGAAGCTATTTTTTATGTAGTATATACTACTCATCGTTGTTTTTAAACTCGTTTCTTCTCCAGATGCGTTATTTTTTTCATTTATCAATGGCAAACTCTCTCGCATTGTTATGTACGATACGTTGGAAAAAACAGAAACAGATAGAGAATCGTTGTCATTTGTTTATTATATATTCAATGATTTTTTTTTTCTTTTTTTCTTTTTTTCTTTTTTTCTTTTTTTCTTTTTTGATCTATGAAAATCATAAAAACAAAAGCAACGATTTGACCGAAAAAATTCACAAATTTTTTAGATCTGTGTTCTATTTTTTCCACGCGTATCGGGTGCTCGTAATCATATTTTTTACCGTCGACCGAAATATTTCATTATCATGGGGGAATAGTGGTGATCGTGAAATTGAAATTGATTAGAAATAAGAATAAGCTGCCATCAAAGAGATAGAGAGAAAAAAAAAAGAAAAATTAACAACAACAAAACACCGAGATTGGTTTAAAGCCAATATGTGTAAAACGAAGAACGCTTTATAAACTCTTTCCTTTTGATCCGTCATCGATCGTATCAGATTCTCGTCAAACGTTGATTCTATACGATCGAAACGACAGAACAGAATAGTTGATTTATTTTTGTTGGTATGTAACATAGGCTAGAAATAGAAGATGGAATTCGCGCGTCAAGGTCTTCGTCAAGGTATCACGATAGGATTTAATATTTCTCTAAACGTCTTGTCTTATCTGTCAAATATTTCGGAGCATTATAAATAACCAATTTGTCTCCCTCATTCAACGAACGAGTTCTTCGCAATCTCTTCGGCGTAGACCTTGTCTCGACGAACCTGAGACATTCTGGTGCAATTATGTATAGATAAAAAAAAAAAAAAAAAAAAAAAAACGAAAAAAAAAACAAAAAAAACACAACACATGGTTGAGACTGTTGTCCACGTTTGCGACGATATTGCGATGAAAGACTTATGTATACGGAGTGTCCGCGTTCACACCGTTTGTAAGTTAATTGTAAATGTAAATTATTTTTAGGTACTACCATGCCACATAAACACAGACACACACATACACATACTTATAACAGCTTCTATGTGAATTTTGTGAAGGCGCAAACAAGTCCGTGAGAGAGAGAAAACGAGATCATAAGATTTCTTGAAACTTCTCAGTATATTCGGTCTTCGAAAATTCACGTAGAAGCTCTTTCTCTCTCTGTCTCTCTCTCCTCTCTCTCCTCTCTCTCTCTCCTCTCTCTCCTCTCTCTCTCTCTCTCTCTCTCTCTCTTTCTCTCTTCTCTCTTTCTATCTCACATACTTTCGTTTTCGTTATTATGCCCTCACCTGAAGAGAAGAGATGCATCGTTTTGGGTGCCGTTTCGAATTCGTTTGTAAATATAGCGTATACTAATAATGATAACGATAAACGATAGCCTTAGGGATATTGCTAATATTATTATCACTATTAATATTAACTACTATATGCGATAGCTTTAATATTAATATTTATCATGCGACCGACAGTTAATAAAATACCAAGGACATTATGCCTGTGACTCCTTTTCTGACCAATAATGGTTGTATAACAACACGTTGAAATTTATGTTAAAGAATATCTTCGAGACTCGACGGAGAATAATATATTGTTCTTATTAAATGAGACTAAAGAAAAAGGAAAAGAAAAAAACGACAAAACAAAAAAAAATTCTAAAAAAAAAAAAAAAAGAAAAAAACAAATTAGAAAAAATTTTTTATACCCTCCTAACTTATTATAATATGATAATCGATCTCGTGTAAGAAGGCGGGCCGATTCGATTATAAGGAGAGAATAGAGAAGAAAGTAATTGTAACGAAACGATGCCATACTTACATATATGTATATATATATATATGTATATATATATACATACATACATACATACATATATATATATATATATATATATATATCTACACAAATATATATATTTTAAATGATAAGAGAGCAGTAGAAGAGCAAATCGATCGAAACGATCGGCAATACCATTTTGTATATATAAAACTTAATCGTTATTTCCCTTTCCTTTCCTTTCTAAACAATTCTGAATTGCATAATCAAGATGTCTGTGCCCGTACGTTAAAATAAAAAGAGAAGAAAGAAAAGAGAGAAGAGAAATCGTTTGATCTTGAGATATTGGCTATTTCGAATATGCGATATAAACATAGAAATGATATAATAATAAATAATATATTGCCGATCGTGCATGGGAGAGACGACACTTCGAGGTCGGCGAAAAGAATTTTCCCACGAGTAACTCGTTAGAGCTTTCCCTTTCTCATGGAGAGTTTATCTCTACTCGCTAATCTGCAACGAGTACCGTACGATGCGTCTGATCCGCTTAGTAAAATCAAGTTTATATATATACATATATATATATATATATATATATATATATATATATATATATATATATACTAATTTAACTTTTTTGTTTTGTAAAATTCTAAATTATACAATTTTATTTTCATAATCGTCGTATCTATTAACCCTCTCAATGGCATCTAACATCTATTTTCTTTCTATCCAACAACGAAATTAGATAATATATGAAAAATGTATAATCTATAATATAACTTATTGAGTTCATTAAGTTATATATTTAGTAAACATTAATAATTGGATATAGATGAACAATTTTATTTGTAAAAAAAAAAAAAATAAGAAGGATTTTTCAAATAGTTATGTGTGATAATAAAGTTACATGATGACTCATAGAGGGTTAACAAAAACATCTAAGATAAACGAATACGAAATTAAAAAAAAAAAAATGTTAAAGGTCGAAGATCGGCGCTCGAGCACAGGCAATAACAAAAGCAAAAAAAAATATATATATATAATGGAATATTTCTTTATAATCGACGCGTTATATATTCGTTCCAAAGATCCAGAGATCGGATGAAAATTTTCACACGCGGAAAACGCTTCCCTTATGTATGATTCTCACATGACGACAACGAAGAAACGGAAGAGCGTTTTATTCACGTGTCGCTTTTTTTCTAGGAATCTTTCTTTTTCTCTTCGTTCCGGTGCACATTACTATACAACGTAATGTGATCTCGTGATAATATATATATATATATATATATATATATATCACACACACATTTTCTTTGCGCGAACATAAACGTGTTTAACGCGTTACGTTCGAGGCGAAAAATGGTGCTGTTATATTCTTCGTATGTAAGAAGCTTGTATATTTTTGCGTCTCTCGTTTGTAAGATAATGATTTACAAATAAAACGCGAGGAAAATGTAAGTACATGAACCGACAATCTTTATTCTTATATACATACATACATCAGACACAGACATACACAAACGCACACATACACTTTCACGAACGTCATTGATTAAACAAATATTCGTTCATTATACACGATCCGTCTGCGAATGAAGTCATTTTTATTGTGCGTATATATATATATATATATATATATATATATATATATATATATATGTTGTTATATATTTACAATTCTTTTCTTTTTTTTTAAACTTTGACATGTGTTATTTTTTACTTTCTTTTATAATGGAACAGGTTTCAAAGTCCTTTATGAAACAACGAAATATCATTTTTTTCTTATACATATATTGTAATATTTAAATGGATAAATATGTTCTTTATGTACATAAGGTATGGCCATGATATATATATAAATATATATATACATATATATATAAATATATATATATATGTATATTTATATATACAATAATATTATAGTTCATAGATTATAAGGAAACCGTGAAATTCGATTTTTCACTGGCTCCATTTAAGGCACATCTCGATTAAATGTTCATATTCGTTCATCTTCATTGCTTGCTTTCATATTTGGAAATTTACATGGGTAATCGATCAAAGAACGAAAAGACATTATTTTCTTTCAATGAAGAATACGAGTATAAGATTAAATTCTTCACAAACAAGTATGATCTTCACAATATGCTGTCCTTGATGACATTCTCTGATGCGTCAAATGCCTTTTTCCGGTTAGCTATAGCATTAGTAAGCTTTCTCCTAGGTCCAAGCGGAAGTTTGAGGGCTGCGATGTCTGCTTCGGTGAGTAACATCAACGCTTCTAAATCGATTTGTTCGGCTTCTAGAATCGTGTGTATTGACGAGAGATTATTAGCAACTAAAAATCTTTGCAAGGGTGTCCATTCCTCGTCCGTTTCGTCTTCCTCTATTAAAAAAAAAAAAATATATATATATATTTTTTTTTTATATTATATATAATATAATGATTATATATATATATAATTATTATATCATATATATAGATGTATAGAACAAAATTGTATGTTTGATGAGAAACGATCGACTTAATTATTATTTTAATAATTTTGCAAAAACAATACATTTGTCATCAATCGTTAATTTTTAATATTTTTCATTTCAACACGGAAGAATATTATCTTTCGTTTTAAAAATACATATTTGATTTATGTTTTTTATTTGTCGGAATTTTCATATCTTTACAATACAAACGAACGAAAAGTTATTATAATTTATTATACAGAAATTTTAAATAGGGGCTTACCCGAAAGCAAATCGTCATCCCACATACTTTGCCTACGTGCTAAACTACCCGCACTTCCTATACTAATCTCCTCGTTTTGACCATTTGCACTAATTCTGTGACCGTTTGTAGATCCATTTATCGAACCATTCACGCACGTATTACCATTTTGCAGATGAATGTCCGTTTGCGTGACCGGCAAATTGTCGAGCGTTGCTGTCATCTGGAAAAATGAAACACAATAAGGAATATCATGAACTACGAGTAACATCTGAAGAGTTGGCGTTGTTTCACGGTTTGATTATGTCAGTTTGAAATAGATTAGTCTGTTAATTTATTAGAATTCGAGATTTCATTGTTTCATTGTTAAGTTGCATTACGTTTAAACGATATAGAAAGAAAACATATTTAACTTTCAACTGTTTATTATTAACTTGTTATTAACTTAACAATAAATACCATCCTCCCCCCCACCTAAGGAAACTATAACAATGTCTAAGGTGGTGAATTATTGTCATGAACAGCAACGAAGCAGAACATTTACGTTTAACAGCGTGAAGATCGTTACTACACCCTGTATAAGTCTTCGTGACGCTAGAGTAATCACGAAAATGGAACGTAAACGTGTCTTCCGTAGTATATTGGCATAGAAACGATCGAATTTGTAGTTGACCTTGAATTGATATCTCTGAACGTGTCTCATGGATTTAACACATTCGTCATGTATATACATTTGAAATGTTATCGTAAAAAGTATTTCATTTGAAAACAAAGTAAAAGATTATAGGCATGTATATATATATACACATTACGAATAATATATGAATAATAAAATTTTCATGGAGCGTGACTTTCAGATCACCCTAAAGCACAGCTTACCGGTCTTCTGAATGCTACCGATCCAAAACCAGGTCGATCGAAGATACTGCCTTGTTCTCGGAGCAATCCGGTATCTCTGACCGTCTTATTATATCGTTCTTCATCTTGTCCCTCCTCTTCTTCATCCTCGTCACACGAACGGTCACCTAAAAGATCCGGTGTACTCTGTGCCTTACTTAGAGTACCCCAAACATCTGCGATCTTTCCTCTTCGTCCGATCTGCTGAGCCTGAGATTCATAAGTTCCCACGTACATCACTTCGGAATCCCTTCGGAGACCAGTCAGACTACGTACAGATTTTCTACCGTCTACTTCGATCTATAAAGAAGAAAAAAAAAAAAAAAAACCAAATTAAAAGTATCCGCGATTAAAACGTTTTATATTCTATTAAAAGTCTTTTATCTTATCGTAAGAAAAACACACTTCAACTATCTTGAAATCATCGACAGCTTTCTTTGCCAAAGCCTTTCTGCAAACTGCACTACCATGTTTTTTCGTAGTAGTACCAACGATATCGCTAAACGTTGGAGATGGTTTGATTCGACCTTTGAAAGTCATTATCGTAGGCCTAAGAGCTAAATTATTAGTCTCGTGTAGAGTGTCCAAATCGGATTTTGATCGATCCTTCATCAATTTCTTTTGTACCTTTTCTGCTTTTACCTCGGCCATCTTTTGTTTCTTCATATATTCCTTCAACCTTGTAGAAATGAATGGTCAGAGATTGCTAAGTATATATACATATACATATACGTAGTTGAACATAAATAAAACAATCACCTTTTGTCAGCATCCTTCTCGGCCTTTTCCCTTAAGAGTCGACTCTTTTTCCGATTGTTCAGTTCCTGATCGGATTGAGCTAAATCCAAGAATTGTAATATCCTTTCTCTGCCATTGATCGCAGCTAACTCTCTTGCAGAATGTCTGTCTATGTCGAGTGACCAGATGTTACAACCAAATTTGACGAGAAACTTGACGCAATATTCATGACCCCTTGCTGACGCTAGGTGAAGGGCTGTATTACCGAAATAATCACTCTTGTCCGGGTCACCCCTGCCGATAGAAAAGTTTCTGCTAAACTCAACAATGAGAAGTCCCCCTTCGTATTTCCCGTCACGCGAAGTAGACACGTGAAGTGGAACCGAAATAGTTTGCATACGAATTTACGGATGTATATATGTTAAGGTATTAGTTATAAAGTATAATATTAAAGAAAAATCATAAAATGAAACATAAAAACGATGATATTATACATCGAATTCTATACGATCGACTCGATTTCGCGATAATTACGCGCACATGAGAATCCGAGACAGTTCGGTCGGCCGGTGGTCGGACTTCGAAATACCGGTTTTGTGTGTGAGGCACGCGTGCAAATCGAGTCAGTTCTCGAAGGTACCTTTGAGTTTCTGCTTTCGAATCGCGAGTAATCTTTTGGTAATTTTTAAAAGCTTTTTATTTCAGACATCACGCGATAGTTCTATTGTTTCATTTTTACGATGGTAATTCGTGTAGAAAAAAAAAAAAACGAAAAAAAAATTCAAAACAAAAAAAAGGACAAAAAAATTAAATCATTATATTCACCAAAAAGAACATAAACAGATCCGTTCGTATATAGTTACGCTTGTAATGTGACTATAAAAATTCTTCTTACAAAGTAAAGATCTTATTCATCGATTATCAAGAAAAAAATCTGAATTGGATTACTCCATTCGTAATTCAATACGAATTTTAATTATTCTCCATGTTTGGAGGACAGAAATTTTTACGGTTCGCGCTCCGACTCGTTCCGTTCCGTTCCGTTCCACTCGCGTTTTGTTTCGTGCACGCTCGATTGTTTTTCGTTACCGTCCGGCCAGCCGCAATTTCCGCTGCTAGTCTCTCTCGACAGAGATAGAAGATTATATACAATGGCATTTCCGTTCTTTCGAGCACATCTGTCACCGAATTCGTTCATTCGTTCGCTCGTCCGTTCGTTCGTTCGTTTGAATAGAAAAAAGGCGGGCAAGAATTTTTGAAATTCGCGCGTATGCTCATCCTCCCTGTTTCCGCCATCTTCGTCGAGGCAAAACGACCTCGAGCCGAATTCGCGTACACGCGGTCGTTCAAGGTCGAACGTCAAGCGAACGAACTACTCAGACGCACCTTCTCGAAGTTCTAAAGTATCTTCTTCGAATGCTAACACATCCTTTCAACTACTTGATTCCGTTAGAAGGGAATGGCTTCTCCCACTCTTACAAAAACACAAGGAGACATTACCAATGTCATTGATGTTCAATAAATCCACTATTTTTTCTTTTATGTATATATACACCTACATATATATTTTTATCATTTTTATTACAATATTAGACGATACGTAAAAAAGAATGTATAATCATGACGATGCAAAAGTTAAGTAGATACTTGCTTAATAGTAAATAAGATATAACAATTTAAGTGGATAATCTATACGTGATAGTTTATATTTTACGAAGAAAAATTTTCAACTTTTTCTTTTTTTTTTTTTTCCCCTTCAGACATCGATATTCAAATTGGTGTTCGACAAGAAAACTGTAAAGAAAGAAAGAAGCCATTCCTCTCCTATCGAGTATCATACTTCACCTGTACAAAACCGATTCGAATTTGTTAGTTACGTACTTATTTGATATCTCAGATAAGAACGGAATAAGTTGAAAATAATGATGATAAATAAAGGAATTTTTTTTTCTGCAAGAACGCTTACGAAATTTTCAAGATTAAGAAGATATTCGTTAATCGATGAAAGTGATTAATCATACCTGCGATCATTAGGCGTGAAATATAGACGTAAAGTTGAGATAGTTAAACTGCTTTATGAGTGGCTAGTTACATACATACGTGAAAAGTAAATGTTATCGCACATTCTACGTAACCGTTAATATTGTATTTAATTCTATAGAGTAGAGTTAGTGCGTTAGTGAAAGTTAGCCGACGGTTGCGTCGTGTGCGCGCCTTTATATACTGACTTTTCAACTTATTTTCAATCCACTCCTCCTTTTTCAGTACTTTAAACTATGCGGAACACAAACGTCGACTTCATTCAGAATAATTTTTCTAGAAACTAAATAATATATTACGGACAAAGAGGAAACGTTTAGAATAGTTGTCGAATAAGTATATCTCCAACGTTTAAAAATTATTTTATAATGTACTTTCTCTGGAAAAAGAAAAAAAAAATGAAAAGAAAAGAAAATGAAAAATAAGAAAAGAAAGTAAAGGGACAGACAGATTAAAGATGAAGGTAAAGCGCAGGGAGAAAATCCCTTTTCATTTTCGGTAAAATAAGAACCCTCAAACATAAAGGAATAACTCGTCTCCTTGAAGAAGATTTTCTTTCTGCAAGGCTTCGAGGCAGTGAACAAGCATACCCTCTGGCGACGAGCAGTCTCAGGGCATCTATGTGACCTTCGAAGGCTGCCCATAACGTTGGGGTCATTCCACCTTCGTCTCGCATGTTGCAGTCCTTCTTCGTTGCTTCCTTCAAAATTTCCAACGCGCCGTCTCGTGCGGCCCTTTCAACAGAAAAACGCGAACAATTACTTTCAAAAATAAACAAAAATAAAATATCGTACATTAATAACGTTTCAAAACGTTTGATCCGCCATTTTGTTTTCAAACGCATATCTTTCACCATCTTGTTATCTTTAAAGGGTTATAACTTTTTGCAAAAAAAAAAAAAAAAAAAAAAAATTCATAAATTGTAATCTTAATATTTATTCGAGCTTATATATTCTAGAAGTGTAGATATGAAATAAAATCCTAGCGTTCATAAATGCACGACAATGGGAGTTAACTAGCGTGCAATAAAGTTTCTTTCGCGCATTCTAATTCTTCGATTATTATTTTACGAAATAACAGGCTCCGTTGCTGTCATCGAGAAGGTGTCGAGTACCTTTCGCTAGACTTACGCCTTCTCGTCTCGACACCCAATTACGTTTAATCTCTCGCGCCAGCTCTGATAATCTCTCTTTTAATTATGGATTAACTCGCTCGGCTCTCATTCTAACTCGTTGTCGAACACGCGCCAATGATTTTCTCCCTCGTTCTCTCACTTTTCCATTAAGCTTTCTCCGTTCATATATTTATATATATATATATATATATATATATATATATATGTATAAATAATAATTTTTTTTATAAATCAATATAGTATTACAAAATAGTATTATAAAAAAATTGTTATAAAATCAAATGTTAATCATCATTGACTTATATATCTGCACATGTATCATGCAGAGGAAATTGATCTTATCGTAATACGAAAATGGAACTAGGGCAAAACTGTATCACGAAAAAGGACAAAGGAAGTGACACGAGCTCGTACAAGATTATATGCAAAGTTTTAATGAATTTAACGTTAGGAGGTTTATTTTCAGATATATGCACGTTTACCTATATATCATTCTCGTTGAGAATTTATTCTGACATTTTCGTGTCTATTCATCTACTTTCCTTTTCTTCATTCGTGTTCGTGTCGATCTAGATCAATTGGTAACGAAAAGTAATTAATTAAGTGAATAATAAGAATCGTAGGAAATTTCATTGGGTCATTGAATTACGTCGAATTCGTTTGAGATAAGAGAGGAATTTCTTGAGGTTGTTATTCTTATAGTATATGGCTAACTATATGTAATAAATATATGTATATAATGTACTGTGTAGGATTCCTTTTTTAATTTACCAGAGAAACAAGAATTTATTCGGTTTGACTACAAAGTATATATATATATATATATATATATATATATATATATATATATATATATATATATATATAGAGGTAAGCTATGAGTTCTAGTGCATTGCACAGCCATTGCAAATGGCCCTAAGAACGCGAGCTGAGAGAGCTCGAAAGAATTTGCTAGGGCGGCACAACATGCTCTAGAGTTTCCGATATCGAATCGTAAGGCGACTAATAAGAAACCAGCCGGAGCGGTTTCAGACCCGGTAACAAAAGAACAACGAAATATATTATTCCATTAAAGCACTACGATGATATCGAACGTCAACGATACGGCTCGTTTAACGACGAATAATAACTCTGATGGATACCATATTTATCATCTTTAAGACATCTAAAAAAAAAAGAAAAGAAAGAAAAAATAATATAATCTTGATCTTATTTGTCCTGGTCGATTTAATTCAACAGAAAATACGATTCAAGGAGATAAATTTGGTTGTTTCTTAATTATGGAAAGATGAAATCAAATACGTCAAAATCGTTTCCTTTCGAAATTGTCTCCTATTAATTAAATAATATATATATATATATATATATATATATATATATATTATTTAATTATTATAATATTATTTATTATATGTATAAATAATATTAATACAAATAAATATGATATAATATATATATATATAAATAATTTAAATATAAATCAACATAAATAAATTTATTATATTATGTTATAAATAAATAATATAATAATATTATTATATTATACCTCTGATATTAATAATAATATGACTATTAATATTTAATTACTAATAATATATATTATACTTTATATACATATATTATATATTTATATATAAGAAAAATGATAGTGAAATCAATTGAATGCTTTTTTATATGGAATTCTTAAAGAATAGAAAATCGAAATATTTTTTTTTTTTTTATATCTCACACGTGCGATCGAACAAGCAAGCACGTACTCTCTCGAAGGTGTTGGTAGACGCACGATAAATCTACGCGTTGAATGAAACAAAAGCAACTATCTCCTCCCCTTGTGCATAAATTCTGCGTGCGCGTGCTCGATACACGGGCAGCAATAAAGTAGAGTCTCTCTGTTTTAGTATCATTACATGCTTCTAGGTAACTAGGTACACGAATATTTTTCTTATATTTTTATTTCCTTTAAAACTGTATCCTTGATCATACTTTGTGAATTTCAGTGTCACTGATTCACAAATGGGATATTATAAATTTTATCTCGTTAATTCGAACTTATTATCTTTTTACTCACTCGGTAGTTCCTTTGTATTCTTTTATATTATATGTGAAAAACATTTGCCAATTAGAAATATAAAATAATATATATTGTGTTTATTTTTGTTTTATTTAGAAATATATATATAGAAAGATAATTCTTTTATATCTTTCGTTAAGCGCATCGTCAAATTTGAAAATACGTATGGTTATGGGCGTTTGAAAATTGGCGGGAAAAATAAAATTCACCTCGTTAACTCGAGGTTACTAAAAAAAAAAAAAAAAAATAAAAATACACAAAAAGAGTTCGCGAAGAGCAACAATATAATGATCGATAATAATGATTTGCGAGAGAAACGCAATAATTTCTCAAGCATAACACCAACGCGGCAAAAGAATATATTTCTCGGAAATCGATCCGAAACCATAAAACTTCCCTTCTTTTCTTTTCTTCTTCTTTCTTTCTTTTCTTTTTCTCTTTTTTTTTTTTGTTGCTTTCGCTCAATCTTTCTATCTACTCTTTTTGCGTTCGATTCTTTCCCTTTTTTCTTTTTTTTTTTTTTTTATTTTTTTTTGTTTTTTGTCCTTCTAAAAAAACTACAAGAATAAATAGAATATGACGGGATTATAATGATTGTAGATTTTCAGCTGTGCTTGTCCGTAGTCTCGAGACGGCTACGCGAGAATGCATCGGAGAAAATAAGAAGAGATAAACCCTTGTAGGTAAGGCATAAAGCCAGTTCCTTGCAAAAGGAAAACTCACTTGTGAAATCTCTCGGAAGATGTCATATTTCCTTCAGATGATTTTTCCAAATGATTTTCAAGATGGTCTATCGATATCAATAAACCATTCCCTGTTGAGGATGTTCGTTGTCTTGTAAAATATTCGTAAATTCTTCGATTAGTAGAAGAAAATAAAGGGAAATAAAATAAAAGAAGGATCGGTGGCCTTCGGCCACAAAGCCGAAGTTCAACACACGTCGAGTATGGCGTCCGCCGATAGACTGCTTTAAACGGACGAACCTACCTAACCCATCGGCTTAGAGGATCGGCTTCTACCCCCGCTAAAACCCACCCCCCCCACCGCCTTCCTATACTATTGCTATCTTACTTCAGACCGTTAATTTGATAACTCCTTTCTCGCTCCTTCATTATTCCCGCGTCTTTCTCTCTCTCTCTCTCTCTCTCTCTCTCTCTCTCTCTCTCTCTCTCTCTCTCTCTGTTTCTCTCACCTGTCCCGATATACCCCCACTTCTACTTTTATTACTATGCCGTCAGATGACTCACCTGCCACCTGGTACCAACTTACCGATTCGACTTTACTACGATCAACTTATCAACAGAGTTTTATTATCCAAAAACTGTTCTATCTATTGCCGATCTTATCATTATGCTCGAATTTTTATCCGATCAATTCTATGGTTTTTATTTATTTATTGATCGATTATTTTATTTATTTTATATATATATATATATATATATATTTGTTTTTTTTTCAATGCGTTTTTCATACGTTTTTGAACGACACAAATGGATCCCCATTGATTCATTCGTTGTAAATAATATCAAGTTATAATTTCGTCAAATCTATTAAATTTAATTTAATTTATTTTTAAAGAGCAATTATTTCAATATTCTTTTATCAATACTTTGTACCAACAATTTTTTTTTATCATGATCTTGATTTATATAAAGATCTACGATCGCATCGGAATAATATGGTTGTTTTCAAAAACCCATGAGATTGGACGCGAATCATCTTAAAGATTATCCTCGGCCAATCCAATTCTTTCTATAGAATTTAATAGAGGTGTATCTCTTAAATTTACTCGATAATATGTTTAATGTAATATTTTCTCGTGTGTATTAAATAATAAGGGATATATATTATATTTTTACAACAATATATTTCGTAATTATTCGTTATTTCGTATTGGAAATATTATTTAAAAAAGAAAAAAAAAACCGCATTAATAAGATAAATTAAATAAGACGAATAACTTCTATGATAAAAAATAATGAGAAAAAAAATAATAGCAAAAATAATAATTACAATCGTTAGAATATAAATGATTAGTATATTTATATATATACATATATATACATACCTATATCGTAAAATTGTAAATACATTAACGTTATCAAGTCTGTTGCATTGTTTGCATTTTTTTTTTTCATACGGAACAGTGATATATAAATCCACAAGTTCGGTATCACATTGTGTAACAGATTACGACTAATTATGACATTTATTACTTAAAATGATAGACAAGAGAAGATTTGTTCAAACAATATATATATATTGAGATAGAAATTTTTGAATTCTACGCTTTTGATGACGTTGCTTTGGAGAGAATTTTTTATTGGCTCTTTACAATATATACATGCGTATTAAGCTTGGCTCTCTTATATTCGCAGGTATGTGCACATATACCGTACGATATAAAGGGGATTCTAAAATCCCCGAGCGTACCGATGTCCTATGCGACGTTGGATTAGTATAGTATACGTGTGTTAGTGTCATATATATACTAAGTAAATCCATTGATTTGTTTAAAACTTTGACGAAACGAGCGACAACCTGATGATTATCGCGAGAATAAAACGTTACGCGAGCGTACGAGCTCTTTTTATAAGAAACTTCAAAATATTCTAACCGATAATTGCGAATGTGCAAAAAGGTTTATGTCAAGGTGGGTCGGTCAGAGATAACTGTAAAATGTCATTGACGAATGTGTGTCAGGCATGGAGTTGACGCTCCTCGATGACACTTGTGGAAACAATCGACTTGAAAATCGCGCAATTTTTAATTTAACGTGACTCTAAGGAATATCAACGTAATCCGTAAAGTACGTACGTGTTGTTTTTTATTTAATAAGATTTTAAACGTGCACTTAAGGAGAAAGAGAAAAAAAAAGAAAAGGGCAAAGAAAAAGAAAAGAAAAAAAGAAAAAAAAAAATAGAAAAAGAAAAGACACAATATTTTGAAATTTCATTTTCTCTTGCATTTTTTGTCCCCTGTTATAGAACAATTGTTTTTCTACAAAAATGCATCAAATACTCGCTCAGCAATACCAAGAGATCTACCAAGTTTTTGACAGATGTTTCAGTTAACGACATATATAGGATTGCTCCTGAATTTTCTAATCAGCTTCACATCCATGTATAAAGTGTGTTCCATATATATACAATGTTTTTTTGACTTATTTTTTATATCTATATAATATCATTTGAGCATGGATTTTTTTTTTTTTATATATATACTTTTTATGTATTCTTTAAGTAGAACAAAATGGATATTTTTGTCTTACATAAATATTGTTGTTTGAGTAAAAAGTTTTGTTTCATATTTAAAAAATTTTTTATATATAAGCATGTTCCTTTTCTTTTCTAATTTCAATTAATTTGCTTTTAACAATTCTTTAATATATTCTTACAATAATTATTCGGGATTACAGATAAGAACTGGTAAAATCATGGAGGGACCAGAAGTTACATTTCTATTTCAATTTGGTTTAACTCGTGATACAGTCACTGTTGAAGCTAGTACATTGACACTTAAGGCTTTAAAAGATTTTGCGTGTAATTTTATAAATGCCAAGTGTCCAGATCATGGGTTAAGTCATCTATATGAGAGATTGCTTCTGTTCAAGCATGATTATAGTTCTACAAATATTTTACAACTTATAACAAATGCAATGGAGGTTGTAGATGAAACACTAGTTGAAATTGTTCTGACTGGTAAGTTTGTATAATTATTGTATAATTATATATTAATTGAAATAAGTATATTAAATGGACAATTATTTAAATATTTGCTTTGTAATTTATATTAAATTTTAGCTCAAGTGCCAAGTGAAGATGTTCCCATTCGTCCTCATGCTTTAACAGTTCATTCTTATAAGGTTCCAACATTTTGTGATTTTTGTGGTGAGATGTTATTTGGTCTTGTGCGACAAGGTCTTAAATGTGAAGGTATGTACATAATATTTTAGATTTGTTATACATGGAATATTAAAAAATACGTTTTTTTTTTACTTTTTAGGTTGTGGTATGAATTATCATAAACGTTGTGTTACTAAAGTACCTAATAACTGCTCGCAAGATAGCAGCCAAAGGCGGCGTAGTTCTGCAATGTTAAATGTGCCAAGATCACCGAGTCAAGGATCCACGAGCAGCTTGACCAGCATTAGTGATGACAATCATAGTGCAAATAACACATCTAATCCAAATCAAAGTAATAATACTTTGGTAAGGATATAATGGCATTGTCTAATAAGTGCATTATCTAATTCTTGTATTAATACTTTTGTATTAGACTTGTATATACAGTTTTGATTTATTAATTTTATATAGGCAGTTCCAAGTATAGTTACTCCAAAACAATCTCGTTCCCCATCATTGAGTGGAAAAACAATTTGGGTTGAGAAAGAAGTTGCAACTCGTATAAAAATTCCACATACATTTGTATTGCATACATATACGCGACCGACAGTATGCGGGCATTGCAAAAAATTGTTAAGAGGCTTATTCAAGCAAGGCCTACAGTGTAAAGATTGTCAATATAATGCTCACAAAAAATGTATTGAAAAAATTCCAAAAGATTGTATTGGAGAGAATCCACGTGATAATACTGGTACAAAATAATTATAACGATTATTAATATTTTCGACAAACATATTTTTATATACTTCTTTAACACATTATTCCAGGCAATGAATATCCTGATAGTGGTGTCGGTAGTGAACCAGAAGGTAAATGTGATGGTAGAAATGAAGAAGGAGATGGGGATAGTGATACAGAATTACTTTTGCCCGTTAAAATGTCTACGTACATAACAGATGAAAATAAAACACCTGATGAGTATACAGTAAATATTATTTCGTTTTTATAGAAATATAAACTTGGAATAGTAAATAATATTTTTATTATATTTTTTGTAGGATCACATACCAACGAATGAAGATGTTAATTATGATGAATTTCAAAAATCTAGACCATCTAGGTATTTATCTTTTATTTTTCAAATTTTCCGATATTTTAAATTATTTTTTATACTTCTCATTACAGTTGCAGTTCTACTCCAAGTAATAACATTCCATTAATGCGTATAGTTCAAAGTGTTAAGCATACGAAACGACGTGGTTCAAAAGTTTTGAAAGAAGGTTGGATGGTACATTTTACAAATCGCGATCCTGTGGTAAGTTGAAAGTGAGAAAATTTTGTTCCAAATCAAAACTGAGAAAATTTAATGTTACAGAGGAAAAAACATTATTGGCGACTTGATACAAAGGCTATAACACTTTTCCAAAGTGATAGTAGCTCTAAATATTATAAGGAAATTCCACTTGCTGAAATTCTGTCGATCGAAACAGCTAAAATACCTCGTTCGCGTAAGTGTTATAGATAAATTAATTTTTGGCATATAACTGAATGATTTTAGATGTTAAAAAAAAAAATATATTTATTTTAGATATAATGCATTGTTTTGAATTAAAAACCTCAACCATTGATTATTACGTTGGAGAAGATCCAACCTATGGTGATAACAATGGTCAAGTTCCTGCACCAGAAAGTGGCATAGGTGTACACGTAGCTAGATCATGGGAAACTAATATTAGACAAGCACTTATGCCTGTAACTACAGCTTCCACTAGTATGTAGTAGATTTTATTATTTTTTATTTTATTTACGTAAAAAATAAATATATGATATATTTGAAAAGTAAATATCATTTGTATAGTTGCAGACCAAGAAGATCCTACAGAACCAGAAGAAAATGTGACCGACATGTCGCAACTATATCAGATATTTCCAGATGAAGTTTTAGGATCAGGACAATTTGGTATAGTTTATGGTGGTGTGCACCGTAAAAGTGGTAGAGCAGTTGCCATTAAAGTTATAGATAAATTACGTTTTCCTACGAAACAAGAAGCACAACTGAAGAATGAAGTGGCTATTTTACAAAATCTATCTCATAGCGGTGTCGTCAATTTGGAGCGTATGTTCGAGACGCCAGAACGAATATTTGTTGTTATGGAGAAATTGAAAGGTGATATGTTAGAGATGATATTAAACTCGGAAAAGGGACGTTTAAGTGAAAGAATAACGAAATTTCTTATCACTCAAATTCTGGTTGCGTTGAAGCATTTACATAGTAAAAACATAGTTCATTGCGATTTGAAACCTGAAAATGTTTTACTCAGTAGTGACAATGAATTTACTCAAGTGAAACTCTGTGATTTTGGTTTTGCACGAATTATCGGAGAGAAAAGTTTTAGAAGAAGTGTTGTCGGAACACCAGCGTATTTAGCTCCCGAAGTTTTGAGAAATAAAGGGTATAATCGTTCTTTGGATATGTGGAGCGTAGGAGTTATTATTTATGTATCTTTAAGCGGTACATTTCCATTCAACGAGGAAGAGGACATCAACGAACAAATTCAAAATGCTGCATTTATGTATCCACCTACGCCTTGGAAAGAAATTTCATCCGATGGTAATATAAGTGTAATATCTCTCTAAAAAAAATATATATATATATTTCATTTATTTATAGAAATTATATAATTAGAAATTTATGTAGATAAGTTTCCTATATTTTTTTTTTCATTTAATGTTTACTATTTTCAGCTATTGATTTAATCAACAATTTATTACAAGTAAAGCAAAGAAAAAGATATACGGTAGATAAAAGTTTACAACATGTCTGGTTGCAGGTATGCAAATAAATAAAGAAGAAGACTACTTACTATTTCTATAAAATAATAAACATTATTTGTATATGCTTATAGGATTATCAAACATGGTGCGATTTAAGAGAACTGGAAACAAAAGTAGGATACCGTTATTTAACTCACGAGAGTGATGATGCTCGTTGGACGGCATATGGTGATCATTGTACATGACAGAACCATCCGCCTACTATAAACATCGAATCATTGCCAATCCCTTTGCCAATACACAAAGGCTGGGTTCGTTGTGCTCGAGCAACGTTGCGACGATTCATTCGTGCCTGAATTAAAACAAGTGCATGCAAAGTAGAGTAAATATCATCTTTCGCTTTAAATGTATCTATTTCGTTATGATATAGATATCGTAGTTATTGATCTACCGATCTTAAAAATACATATTACAGATATCACATTTAAGCAACTTTGTTCAAAAGTATAATGTTGAATTAATAGATATAACAATATTGTGAGACAAATGCATCAAAAGGCCTTTCCAGTCTTCACATGATACATGTTTTTATAATATAATCGTCTCTTCATGAAATTTTTCTAGTACTCGATGTTCGATTAATCGTAAGAAAATAATGTTTCGATCAATTTGAAATTTAATATTATTGAAACTAAGCTTTTAGCCTTACGTTGTTACGCGTGTATTGATATAAAAGTAGGATTCAAAGTAAAATACGCTAGTATATAATTTTTCAAGTATTACACGATTAAAAATGATTGCTTCGAAATGAGAGGAGCATAAAGAAAAAAAGAAAACAAAAAAAAGAAAAGAAGAGAAATCTATTTGTACAAATTTTTTGAAAGAGGAGTCAATAAGTTTGAATTCCCTTTGAACACATAATACAAGAACATTCCTCATCAATCTTTGTAAGTATAATTATTAATAAAATATAGCAAAAGATAATATTTGCATGTAAACTATCAAAATGCTCATAGCATTTATAGAAAAATGAAAATGAATGTAGAAACGCAATAGTTTCTACATTGCATTTATTGTTACAATATATCTCTTATTGCTTGCTACATACAATTCTATTTGTTAATTATTAATTATATATATATATATATATATAAAGTATATCTATACAATACATTGCACATGTTACGTGCATGCAAGCATTGCATTAGTAAATCTGAACTATTTAAAGTGTTGAAAAAAGAAAAGAAAAGAACAGTTTTGTATGTCGATAAAAAATATATAAAAGAAAATATTCTTATCTTACATGAGTTAGAATTGCATGGTACTTAACTGCCAAATGATTATTTTTTTTGCCTTGCAATTCTATGTAACAGGAGAGTAATACTTCCGTAATATTTTTATTATTTGATTGGTGAGAAATTAATTTGTTAAAAAAAGGACATGAGAATATTTGATCTTTCATACATAAAATATATGTAAAAGAAAATTTTTCTTAAACTTTGCATAACTTGCATACGCGTTTACTTACGTAACGTACACACAGTATTTTTTATTAACTTTTATATAACTTAATATTGACTCACAAATATTGAGATCTTTTAGAATGCACATAAATATATTTTAAATTAAGATTGGATTGAAATCTATGTTTTTATTGATATATAGTTAGTAAATATAGATAAATGATATAGAGCATTAATATATCGATAATAATATCATTTAATATATATTTATAATACCCTATGATATTATGTACTAACATTTTCATTTTTACACAAAAAAAGATCTTTTATTTTTCATGCTTTTTTATGTACTTTTCAATGCTTTTAGGATGAGAATCTACGTAATGAAACTAAGGATTATATGCTTATATTGGTTTGCAAATTTATAAAATTTATATATGCATATACATATACATATGTGCCCATATAAAGAATTTGTAATATAATGAGTATATTAAACATCTTATAAAAGTTCATTTTCTCTATAAGATGTTATGAGAAATGTAACCGTATTTTATGATAAGATTAATATTAAATCGCAATTATGTAATTTTTTTTTTTATGCAACTGCATTTATCAGTGAATTGTTATTCTTTAAAGATATAAAACAAACATTCCACTGCAGATATAATAGTAAACAAATAATATTCCATTTTAGTTTAATCAGTAAAGATATATATATTTTAGCACTTTACAATGTGCAAATTAAATCCATGACACTACATAACAATTATAGATTTTCCTTGATTTAAAGATCTACTTCATTTATTTATTATTAATAATTAAAAGTTATTCTTAAGAAACAACGATACAAGTAATATAACAGAAAACATATACGGTATAGTTTTAAACTTTCTCTTTACTATATTGAAATATAAACTGCTATATCACATACCCCCATTTAAAAATATACAATTAGAAAATTATTTTTTAAGCATTTCCATATTACTTCATTAAATATTAAATATTTCCTGTTAAAAACAATAGATAGAATTTTCTTAAATAATTTGTATGAATTTGACAGAAGGAAATTTTTCTTGATCATGTTTGGAAGTATTTAAAAAAATTACAATTAGCATTTAAAGACTGAAGAATTTCTTGGAAACGACACAATATACAAAATATTTTAATATACTAGGTAGAAAACATGTAATAAACATTGTATACTATCATGTGCTATAAAGAACATTCCGTTGATGTGTAATTAGATTGTTTTCAACTGTAATTAATTGCAATAGCTAATATAAGTCAATAATCACTAAATAACATTTAACGTAATGTTAATTATTTACTTACATGCTGGAAATTATTCGAAATCTCTTACCTATTATTAATCTATATATTTAATTTTGGCATCTGTATAATTCTGTTAAACAGGATAATGTGTAACATATTTTTAATAAAATATTTTACTATGAATATAATTTAGTTGTCTGATTGTATTCTGCATATTTTTATTGATATAAAATAACAAAAAACATTGATTACAATAAAAATATCAAAAGACATATTGATTACAATAAAAATATCAAAAGACATATTGATTACAATAAAAATATCATAGGACATAAAGTTATATATGTATAAAATATGATTTCATGGAAGCACATTATATGTAATACTTTCTATGATATCAATTGTATAAAAACATGTCATTTTTAATATATTTATAAACAATATCTATATATTTACATTTATATACATATACATACATACATACATACATACATACATACATACATACACACACACATACACATACACATATATATTTCTCTTCGTAATTATTACTACCTGAAGTAGAAAATTTCTATATATATTTGTATATAATTTTCTGAATACCAACACTTATAAATATCTTTAAAATCGTTTTAATACTGCTACGACTTTATTATATACAAGTGTTTTAGCATCTCTTCCCCATAGAAAGTCGATATGATTAAACTTTATGTATTCTATTTTCTTTGTCTCTATTACATTAGGTAATTTGTTTATAGTTTTCTGTATATCCTGTAACAAAAATTTCAGTAAATAATTATCATAATGGAATAATTAAGATAAATTAAGCAAAAGAGCAAGTTACTTACCAAAGAATGTGTCAAAAAATCATTTTCTCCATAAAAAACAGCTACTGGAACCTTCACTTTTTCTAAATTATATTTTGGTGGTTGAGTAGAACCATATATTTTTAAATTTTGGGTAACCCCATAATCAAAGTTTCTAAATAATCCTTATAATGTAGAAAATAAAATTAAAAACTGAGCATAGTTAGTTAAATGTTAATGGAATTAATATTTTTTATTTTCAGTACCTGATAAAATGGTTTGACTGTAATGAACCACCTGTTTGGCTGATGCACCAGCTGGAAAGTGTCCAAATATAAGAGGTAACATATGTTTATCAAGCTGATTACTACCGAATCCGGCAATTAAATTAAACCAACAGTTACAAACACCATTTGTTAATGCACTAGGAGCATTGCGAAGAATTGTACCAAAAGCACGTGCTTGTAGCTTATTGTGAGGGAACCACTGATTTATGTTGCAATAGGAAGAACCCCACTGAAATATATATATATCATAAATTATAATGAGAATGAATATAAGGACAAATTATGTTATATTACCTCTATCAAATTATAGAAATGTACTACACATTTCAATAAAGGACTTCGTTGATTAGATATAAAAGCTATTGGAGCTAAACTGATCATTACTTTAACTTTGGCATTATATTCTGGTCGTTCGCTTCCCATTACAAAAAATGTAGTTGTTCCTTGGCTGTATCCAATATAAGACACTTCTGAATGGCCAGTTTTTTCCAAAACATAATCTATTATCGCTGGTATATCATAATAACCTATCTCGTGCCAACTATAATCAAAAGATAAAAAGATAATATTCTTTTAAGTTTATGAACAGAAATATTAAAAACAAAGTTAACTACCTGAAATCCCAGAACTTCTTATCCTTTGGTGTATAAATTTTATGCTTTCTAGAATATTTATTACCACGTGCATTTACAAGCCACACATCATATCCAGCTTCACACACAATATATCCTGATAAATACAAAATAAATATAAATAAAAAATAAATTTTAATTAAATTAATTTAAATTGATCAATTTCTAATATTTCATACCAAGAGCTTTTTGTGGTCCAAGTAAAACCCAATCTGCTGAACTTGAAAGAGCTCCATGATTTATTATAACAGGTGGTTTTGATAATTGTCTATATTCTGGACGGATTGATTTCAGATTCGATTCAGTCGATTTTTCTAAGCTGTCAATAACAACTTGTTCTTCATTCGATGTGAAATAGGTATTTGTTGAATATACATTAGTCGTATCAGGTGCTGTAATTCTATGTACAGTAAGACAATAATCATCCTCTGTCCAAATATTATGGGTTTCAGGTATATAACCGTGATGTGCAATAAGTTCATGCTGTAATTGAAAATAAGAAATTAAACATTTACAACAATAACAAGCATATGTACAATATCATATCTCGAAATAGACACTTGTATAAATAATAAAGAAAATATTTTGTTGTTAAAAAATTATATAAATACAAGTATTTACAATATTTTTGTTAAAACGTGAATAATTTTTATCGATGGTTCTATGATGAACATCATAGAATGTTCGAGAACAAAAAATATATATGTATGAGTAAAGAGCATCTTATGAAACTCGCTAACCTTGAAACATGATTAAAAAATAAAAAAAAAGAAAAAAGAGAAAAAAACAAATTAACGACGAAAACATCGGAAAATATGATTTCATCTTATTTACACAGATTGATAAACTAATTTCGTATTTTCGCGGTCTCGTAAAAGCGCTATACGGTAATCTGTTTATGTTCGTTAGATACATATGTCGAAACAATTTAAACATTTTTAAACAGAAACCGCATGTGACCGCGTAAATACAGAGAAGGAATATAAATTTTCTCGTAACTGTTTATTCATCGTTTTCAAATAAATGTATGTAATACATCATTTAGTGACTGATTAAATAACTAATTAATTTTATTTGATAAGCTTACCGTTGTCATATGTATTTCATCTTGATTCGTTACTTCGTTCATTATACGAATGAGAGTTTGCTAAATATAAATCTGTCACAGTGAAGTGTTCAAAAAGTATGTAGGATGTATATAAAGTGAGAAAAAAAATATTAAAGGAAAAAAGGAATAATAAAGAAGAGAAATTCACAAGCACACGCACGTAGTATAACTTTCACGTAGGAAGAAGAATAAGAATGGAACACCAATGGTCGATTTACGAGACTTTCGTAGCGATTTTTCCACTTATATCTATAGACACATCTACAATATATATGTGTACATATATATAGACAGAAAGAGAGAGAGAGAGAGACAGACAGACAGACAGAGAGAGAGAGAGAGAGAGAAAGAGAGAGAAAGAGAGAGAAAGAGAGAGAGAGAGAGAGAGAGAGAGAGAGAGAGAGAGAAAGACTTTTATTTAAGAGGATGGTAAATACGAATATATTATACAAACGTAAGAATATATGAGACGTAGAATAGCTCGATCGGTCGAACAAAATGTCACACTTGCTTTGAGATTTGTCGCAGAATGAAATAAAATCTGTAACATCAAAGATGTTGGACATTGGAATGAGGCAGAGAATTAATTATAAACAAACCTGTTTATCATATTATAAATGAGCTTTATTTTCAATTGGTCAGTTTAGTCCAAGGTCGTCAAATTGAACATAAAAATACTTAATGACGTTCTCCACTCGATCTAATACGAAAATAGTGTATACATCACTATCACATTTTTAACGTAAAAATTATCATGTTATGAGAGAGCACGCCTATATGTGATATCACGAAGGGAGTTTTGGTCTCCAATTGTTCATATGATAATATGATGGTAAAAAAGAGGCTGTTTTTATTAAAAATTTGAAGACATTAAAATCGAGGTTTGTTTTCTTACTTTAAGATGTAAATACAAAAAAAAGAAAGAAAGAAAGAAAAGAAAAAAAAAACAAGAAAATTATTCTTATTAATTCATTTAAAAAAAAAAAAAAAAAAAAAAAAAAACCGAAAATTTTTATGTAAAGATCAAAACACAATTGTTGATTAAGGTTATCAATAGATCTATATAATCTAATGGAAAGGTTCGTGTCCATGCTAAAATTGCATCGTCAATGGTTGTTTTCCGTGCTAAGTAGTTCTACGTAGATATTGTAGATTTAAATGTTTTACGTCATATTAGCTGTTGCATAAAAAGATTCCGTAAAATTTTTTATAATTCATATCTCGCGTAGATAAGATGTTCCGTGTAATAACACTAATCTATATGATAAAATTAATTGCATAGAAATAGAACGATTTAAACGTTTTTTCTTCTTTTTCTCTTTTTTTTTTTTTTTATAATTCTTGTGGTTTCAGAAAAATTTGTTTATCTTCGCACACGAATATAGCATATCGTAATGAGACCAGATGCGGAATAGAATTGGTTGTTATCAACGATATAAATAAATATGAATAACAATAAGTATGTAATATCTATTGTCTTTTATATGAATATATTATGTCTATTCGATCGAACTATTGTTGACACAAATAATATTGTTTTAACATATAATAATAATAATAATAATAATAATAATAATAATATTTAATTTATAGATAAATGAGAGATAAGAAAATAATTTGTACAGAAGATTTCATTTTATTTGCAGGTTAAGAGATTTGTGCCGCTTCAATTGTTATCCATTTTTATATGTATATATCTTACATCATATAATATTATACTACATTATTCACAATCTATAATTCAGAGGTCCCCCGAATTTGTCACGGTAGAAGGAAATAACGTGTTTTCTTTACTTGTTTTTTTGGTCACACGTTAAAATATATAAATACGTTTCGATCGAGATAAAACAATAAAACATACATAGAGCGATAAAACATAGACAGGCATAAGATTATTTAAATCTACATAATGTTCGTACATTTTTTTTTACAATAGAATTATGTTTTGAACCAAAAAAAAAACGAAAAAGAAAAGGAAAGAAAAGATTGAATCGAAATATAATTAAATGATAACTGAATAATAATCAGTGTTATGTACTAATAGTACGTTGCGACGATATATATCAGATTATACAATTTAATTGCGCGTGATAATCATCATGATGGCATTATCAACAACAATACAAATTATATATAATGGAAAATTCCTTTCATTTCCGCATTCTCGGTTTTTGATTATATCTTGTTTAAAATTAGTAATAAAAGTTCGAACATGTAAATGCAATTAGTTCGTACAATTATTGAAAATAATATTTTCTTTTATTACTTTAATTCTTTCATTCATACGATCGGCTTGTAATACTTAATGTACATTACGTCTTTACATTCTTACGTAGAGTCTATTTGGAATACTTTCTACGAATCACTTTCCATGAATAATTTGTGTTTGTATGTGTGTATGTGTATTATTATTTTTTTGGCTTTCTTTATCTTTATATCTTACATAGAGACTAAGCGATTTATATTTTACATAGAGACTAAGCGATTGTAAAATTAAGATAAAATGCGAAAGATCACTAGATACTATGATCGATTTTAATCTCGACGAAATAAAAAATAATGAATGTTTTTCCTCGTTAGCAGGTGTATAATGTAATCGTATACAATTTTTTAGAGATATAATATATATACTTACATACGTATGTACATATGCAATCGGAGATAATCTTTAAACGCAATATAATTTTAAATGAATGAAGAGATTTTTTGTTTATATTAGATAATTACATCTCTCTTTCTCTCTCTCTCTCTCTTTCTCTTATTGCTACGTAAGAACGTTCTCAAGGATATTTTCATTTGGCAGTAAAGAATTGTATAACTTCTGTATATCTCTAAATTCTTTTTTTATTGGATCTTTTTCCTTTTTTTTTTCTTTTTTTGCTCTTAATTTGAATATTCTTCTTGTTTACGTCATATTTGTCTCCGATTAAAATTAATAATTCATCTGTATCACGATAATAATAATGATAATAATAATAATTACGTTTAAATATCGTATCCTCATTCATACGTAATATCTCTCAAAAGATCATATGATTTTATAATTAAGAATTTAGCTATAATAATATTTATTTGCGATCAAAGTCTTTAACACCACTTACGTAACTTGATAAGTAATTATGGCAGCTTTCGATTGAGGACACTCGAACGTTCGTAAAATATTTTTTCCATCTTTTTGTTTTTCTTTCCTTTTCTTTTTTCTTTTTTTCTTTTTTTCCTCCTTTTCCTTTTTGTTTCCGTTATAGTAGTTATTAATTTCAGTACGAAGAGCGGATCAATCGATCCCCATATATTGCTTCTCTCATAAATCCGAGACAGTTCTCATCTCTGTCTCTCTCACAATGTCCCATATAAACGCTTAAAACATTTTCTCCCTCTTTTTCTCTCTCTCCCCCTCTCTCTCTCTCTCTCTTTCTCTCTCTCTCTCTCTTTTTCCTTTTCTATCTTTCTCTCTGTATGTATATACACATGAAATCGTGATAATTCAATTTGTTTTTTTTTATATCTGCGTTTCTTTATATCATTCAAACAAAATAAAAGATCCAATATATCGCGTTGAACAGCATGAAACTGACAGGAAATATGATTCTCGAGTATTTGTCGATCACGTTAACGTCTTTGATTTTTGGCATGGACACGCGTAATACCGATGCACCTCTACGGATAGCGTGTAGTACCTATAAAAATTTGTCGATCAACAATGTACCAATACCAATCGAATGTTTTTATGTATTTACTTTGATATTTTTATATTTTCAAGATTATATATAGATATACATAATATATATATATATACCTTAGGTTTATTTTGTTTCGGGCCTCTATATCTGAGCCCACTGTTTCTACCATGTGTATTATAGGCGACTGTTCTTGAGATACGAAAACTGGGTGGAAATTTGACTGGATCATGATGTTTTCCAAGGCCAGGTGTCGAAGAACCACTAATTAAACCTGATCTATTTCTAATGCTTGGCAATGGCGACATTCTTATATCCTGCAGCTCAATAATATCAGCATCAGTCGAACCAGGAAAAGGTGAGGTAGCTTTGCTTCCTTTAAAACGTTCGTATATTACGGTTTTCGAAATGAACATTGACTTTCATTCATAGAAACTCTTACGAAACGCATGACTTACCAGTTTTCGAAGTAAGAACTTTCTGTTCCTCGTTATCCTTCTTTTTGCTTTTTTTTTTAGCTCTTGCACCCCAATACGTGTAATTGACTGCCGCGTACTCTAGTAACGCAGCAAAAACGAAAACAAAACACATCACCAGATATATGTCGATAGCTTTGACATAACTGATTCGTGGCAAGGAGCTTCTCACACCAGTTGAAATTGTGGTCATCGTGAGAACAGTTGTGATACCTAAAATGAAAGAATTTATTTTTTGTATCTTGATCGTGCCTTCTTATTCCTTAAAAAGTTCTTTAATATTTTTTTTTTTTTTTTTTTTTTAGTTTTTATTGTTTTATTTTATTTTATTTTTTTTTTTTATTATCTTTAAGAATTCATTTCTCTTGTGGGATATTCTGTTAAATCTAAAATACGATTTTAGTAACTTCAATATATGGAACGTCCAGTTTATTTTGAAATAAAAAAGTGTTATCAAAGCAATCGGAACAGTGAGTACATAGTCGAAGTGTAAATAGTCGAAGGTCGAATATCGAGCATTGAAAGGATGCTTTTACCCAAGGCCACTCTTGCGCTGGTCGCTTCGTGATTGATCCAGAAACTGACCCAACTAAGCATTACGATGAGTATGCTCGGAAGATAGGTCTGGAACACGAAGTAACCGATATTCCGTTGGAGTTTAAAGCTGAGCGATAACCTTTGATAAATACCGGTAGCCAATTTCTCTTTCCGGTCGTTCGTTTCGTAACCGATTATTGTAAATTGCGGCAATTCCGCTTCCTCCACTCCTCGAACAGGAGTATCTTTCCAATACATTACTACGTCGAGTACCGTGTAACCGTCTGAATAACAAAAATAATTAATAAATCTTAAATTTATTTTATGTGTAACACAATGATAAGCAAATGAACGCTTTTAAATTCAACTTGAATCTCAAATTTAAGTATTATCAGAGATTGACGGAATTCAAATCTTCATTTATATAGATTCGAGTTAATATAATAGATCCTCCAACAATACCTAATCTATTGGACTATTCAATCAAAATTTGCTAATTCTGTAGGATCATTCAAAAATCACGATATTATGATTGTAAATTGTTCAAGATGTTATTTCACGTTCTATTTATTGAGAATACAGAATATTCATGTACCGCATGACTAATGAAACGAGCGGATTATTGCGGTTTTACCTGTTTCGCATCGACTCTCCGCAATATCCAATTTTCCTATCTGATCATAATTACCGGTGAAAGTTATTAATATTTGACGTTATCTTAAGCGACTTAATTTATTAGGAAAGTTCGAACGATCGATACGATAATGACAGTTTAATAAGAAACTTTCTCCATAAGACGATTTAATTTCCGCTTTCATGTTCGATCGGTTAGTCCGGTATACGTTTATATCTACATTGAATGTTATTTTAACGATATAATTACGATATGTTAATTATTAAATAAAGAAGAAGGTAAAAAAATTGAACGTATATATTCTTACAGCTCTCGATCTCTACGGTGCAATTCTGCGAATCGAGAGGATAGTAGTGCAGATCCATCATGCAGGCCAATGTCGTTGTGAATCTCATGCCATAAGTGATGGAACCGTCGCCGGAGAGTCTGACGAGTTTATTGCGTTCAGTTACGTCGTGCAAAAAGCTGGAAAAAGAAAAAGAATGAAAGAGAGGTATAGCTTTAAATTTTTCATAAATCTCGTTTGAATTTAGTTCGGTGATTATCATTTATCAAAAATAATGATTATTTTTCTTGCTTTATCTTTTCAGTGATGATGACTTAGAAGTCATCTGTCTACCTGTTCTTATCGTTGGCAAAGAAAGTATCCGGGACCCAAATCTTTTCTGCAAAATCACCACTCAGTGTCAAGATTTCCTCCTCTTGCGAAAAGGCGAGTCTTTCGTCTTTCCAATATTGATTTAAATACATTGTTATAGTGTAATCCTACAACATAATCGGTCGGTGCACACATTTACCTTCTTATATATTTATTTATTTTTTCATCTATGATTTAGGATCATGCTTATGATAATAAATGATTTCTCTTTAGAATGAAAATGATCATGATTTATGAAGACATTCGATAAGATAGTAACGCCCTTGGGCCAAAACATATTTGTTTATCGAGGACATTGCAGATAAAATATAGGAAGTAAAATATATAAAATATGATAAAATGTAACGGACGTTGTTATTTGAGATATCTAGTTCTTTCTTTTTTAACATATCTTGTTTTTACTCACCATATTGACTTCCGAAATAGCATCGAAACTCGCTATAGTTAAATCCATACCAACTAATAGTGGCTCTCCTAAAGGGAATGATTCAACAAAAGAAAAAAAACAAAAAGAAAAAAAAAAGAAGAAATTTCAATATTTCAACTCGAACAGCGTAGGTAGATCGAAGCGATTCTATTATTTTTATAACTTTATCCGATTTTAAAATCTATGAGATTAGATTTAATCGGCGCGCCACTCTATTAAAAGTTTCAAGCGTATCGCCGTCGAATGGATTGGAAATCCATTAAAGGCGATTGATTTATTTTACGCGATATGACGTATAGTTAATATTATTTGTTGATTTTTTTGCAACGTCGTTGTTTTTCAAATTTTACAAAAGACTGCATCTCTCGAGTCGCGAGAAAAAAGTGGTACGCGCTTTTATTTCTGGTAATATGTTATACCTACCGCCAAAATTCGGCCTCAATCGAATGTCATAGCCGTCGAGTATTCTCGATATGGTCTGCGTGACATTTTCCAGTTTGTCAAACATTCTTGTATTCTCCAACGCAGCCCTAAATATTTATTCGTTTTGTCATTGCTATTACGACGTTGCAATGTTTTGCATTATTTTTTCTTTTTTTTCTTTTTGTTTTTCTTTCGTGATCTTTCGTAAAATTGTTTTGACTTTAATTGACGTAAGATGCGATGAGAAGAAAAAGAAGAGAAAGCGCAAAGACAAAGAAACAGTGTCGGGCCTATGATTAATAACATCGGAAGTCACGAGGAGATAAATGATGAGGTTCAATCTCTCTTTGCCCTTACCAAACGATATGATGAGACAACTGCACAAGAAGAAACGTTAATGGCAGTCCACGCGGCAGCATTCTGCCGATGGTCGACGACCCAATCAGAAATGTTAGAGCACAGGAAAGAATGTCATCTCCTGGCGAGATCTTTGTGTCTCAACATATTCACTCTCGGTACCGCTGCAAGCTGAAATAAAACAAAAGAGAACGCCATTCCTTTCTCCTAACTTGTCCTTGACCTCCGACCTCGCGATCTTTTTCTTTCTCTCTCTCTGTCTTTCTCTCTCTTTCTCTCTCTCTCTCTTTTTCTTTCTTTCTCTCTCTCCTTTCTCTCCTTCTACGTAAGACCGAATCGAGATTTAACATCATATCTCTGTTGCTCTGACGCGAACGTAATTCTTATATGTAAGAGGGCTCGTTTAATTTATTGCATTATTGGATAACAGTAAATAGGCCATGATTATTTTATCAATTAATAGATAGTAAAGTTATCGCTTGAATGACTTTATAGTAGTTTTGGTAGTTTGCTTTTTAATATGTTTTTTAATATTTTTAAAATTGAATGTAAAGGAATATAAACGATATGCTCTCATTGATCCATCTTATTATTTTCAATGACAATTTATAATAATGTAAAATACATATATGAGCGTTTGATCGCGACAATTATTTGTCGTCAATAGAAAGACCGCGTATTTGATCGAACGAGATGTGGGCAACTATTGTAAGCAGTTTCTACTCACTACCACTTTAAAAGCATTTCTATAGAATTCGTAAGAGCTTTTAGATCTTACTTATAAATGGTCTTATCAAAGCTAGTTCTCGTGATATATCTTTGTTCATTATTATGATTCTTTTATTTTATTTTTCTATTTTCTTTTTTTCTTTTTTTGCAATAACATATAAGATTATCTTACCTGTTAATTCACGAGTGTCAAGAAGGAAAAAAAGAAGAAGAAGCAGTGGTATCAGTAGCAGCAACAGCAACAGTAGTAATAGTAGTAATAGTAATAGTAATAGTAATAGTAGTAGTAATAATAATAGTAGTAGGAGTAGTAGAAGTAGTAGTAGTAATAATTACGGTCAAGGTATACACCGACAAGATCAAATTTCCACGTGAAAAAGGATACTTCCCGTAAACAGCTCGTCACAACGCGAACATCGTTATATCGCACACCTTCAAGATCACGGTCCTTCGAGTACACACGCGATTCTGTAATCCGATAGGAGGCATTCTCAACGACGTTTCTTCCTTCTGGACCGTCGCAGCATCAGCGACGAGAATTCCTCGATATTTTCGATCGGTCGAACTCTTGCGGCTTTTTTTTTCTCTCATAAAACCTCATATAACTTTTTCTTTTAATTTTACGAACGAACACGAGTTATTTATCGTTTGATTTTATTTAGAAAAATTTTTTCTCTCTCTGTTTGCCTTTCTTCCTCTCTTTTTTTCTCTCTCTCTCTCTCTTTTTGTCTCTCTCTTTCTCTCTCTCTCTCTCTCTCTCTCTCTTTCTTTCTCTCGTGGTTCATCGAGGAGAGAGAATGAAATTTCTCGTCACGACACGAATTTCGAGGATACCAGCTCGCATCCCCGTTCGTGGCATGGAACCACTACCTTTGCTTTCTCCTTTTACTTTCCTCCCCTCTTTGCTTTCTCTTCCTTTCTCTCTCTCTCTCTCTCCCTCTCTCTTTCTCTCTCTCTTTCTCTTTGTCTCTATCTCTTTCTCTTACTCTCTGCATTCATCAGATGGAGGGGTGCGAGAGAATAAGCGCACGCGCGTACCCGTTTAGCTCGACCTAGTGACACACGGACTCGTCGAATTTCCAGACCACGCTGATCGAACGCCATCTCCACAAGCATCCTTAAGATATAGTAGAAAGAGAGTCGTTAACCTTTGAGGGTTGTACAGAAGGATAGATAGCGTCGGTCTTAACGATCGATGCATTTTTCCAACGAAGTAATCGTCTTCATATCGGCGCATCATCTTCTCCTTCCTTTTCTCTGTATAACCTTCCCCCACAATCCTTCGCCCACTGCTACCCCCCTTTTTTTTTATTCGAACGACAAACAAATCAACAATAAGAAAAACTATACGATAGAAAGAAAATTCTTCTCGACGTCTTATGATCTATACTTCTAATATATTATTTTTTCCTTCTTAGATAAATAAATACAATCTCATTTCTCTTGAAAACGATCCTACCGTGGAACGAATTCAAGTGGTAGATGGAAAACGATGTCAAATACTACACGTTTGTATTCCCTTTGAGCCAGCAAGAAAAAACTCGAAGAGAGAATTTTTTTCTTTTTCTTTTTATAAAGAAGTTCAGTGAAAAAATACTTTTCATCTTTGATAGAATTGGACGATTCTATTTTCTGTGTCGTATTTTTTTAACGACGTAACGAAATAAATGTTTATTAGATTACTTGATGAACATTAGAATTATCGACAATATTATTCCGGTATATTAACATATACATACATGTTTCATATTATATATATGTATCATAGAAAGAGAGGGAGAAAAGGAATTAATAAAATTGATCTCATATGCATCTGTAATAAAAAAAAGTTATAATATTTTAAGAAAACATGAAGTTTAACTAAGGAAATTAAGATAAATTTAGTTTTAAGTAAAACAACGATCGAATCTAATACGATTCTAGATATCCTTCGTTAACATAGTTTAGATAATTGATCTAAGATCGATAATGACGAACAATAGTTCTTTTTTATTATAAAAATATGTGAAGTAGCTTCAAGCTTCAGATTTTTCTTTCTTTTTTTTATAAATCGAAGTTCATATATTACTCCGTTCTTTTTTGCTTTTTTTTTCTTACGTTTGAATTTGTAAAGATTCGCAAAGAAATTGAAAATGGTGTGAGAGAGTAAGAGATCGAGAGGGTCGTTTAAACGCGGGAATCGCCGGCGTGCTTTTGGAGCTTGCGCGTCGGGTGCCGCGCTCTGCGAATCGTTCTTAAGAGCTTTAGCGGTGGGAAATCTACGCGACTCTCGCAATGGTCTGTCGTTCGTCGGTGTTTCGAGGCGATCATTAAAATCGGCAGTGACTACATTATCAAAGCTTTCTTTTGGAAAAATTAAAGAGAGACGATAAGTCACTTTTTCTCTCTCTCTCTACCTCTCTTTCTTCCTCTACCTCTCTTTTTTTCTCTCTTTCTCTCACTTTCCCTCTCTCAAGTTTCAACGAAGTTTCTTCATAGGAAGGGTAAAACGAAAAAGGAAAAGAAGCGGAGTGATAATCATTAATCATGAAATTGAACGTAGCGGAGTTATCGATGTGAGTAAAAGCGCGGTAAATTATTTTTTTTTATTCCTTTCTTATTTTTGCAGTTTGTTTATAATTTATTTAAAAAAAAATTTTTTTCGTTTCATTTTCATCGTTATTTATTATATTTAATCCTCTTTCTCTATTGTGCATTAGTTAATATATAATAATTTTTAAATCTCAACACTATATCTTTTTTATTTAATCAAAATGTATAATTGCACCGCAATTTATTTCAATTATCCTATATTATTGCGTATAAAGATCGTTAGAATTATTGTATTAAAGATATATATATATATATATATATATATATATATATATATATATATATATATGTGTGAACATTTAGGATCCAAAGTGTTTGGGTTACATGAACGTTTATTAGGCATCATCGAAATAGATTCCAATCGAAACGGGCATATATTTAAAAAGGGATCGTATATTACGACGCTTCATTAGCGCACTATCATGGTTTATTCGGCTATGCAAACTTTCATTCGTACAATATTGAAATACAGGCAAACATACACACACACACACATACACATATATATAGATAAGTTTATACATAGATACACAGAGATGTATGCAGATAGAATGTATGTAGAGACGTAGAGAAAGAGGGGGAGAATGGGCTAACGAGAATCCGAAATTAAGGTCTGCTATTGAAAAAAGCAAGCTCAAACGAGCAGTCGCGCGATCTCCAGGAGCAAATAATTATTATACTTATACGATATGATACACCCCATGTATATATATATATATATATATATATATGTATATATATATATATATATATATATATATACATATACGTGTATGTGTGTGTATTTTCGTGTATTTGTTCGTTTCGAGATGAAACCTTTGGCGAACTAGAAATCGAAGTCGAATGTCAAGGAATTCATCGAAATTCATTCGACGAAATGAAATACGCGCGAAAAGTATTTGAAACATGTTGGTCGTGGCTCGATTAGATATCGATTTCTCAATAGAAATGCAATGTTAAGCTAGCACCAGGTTTACGTAGGAATTCTGTGGTGTCGGTTCATGTAATCACATAAACTCTAATATCAGGAACAAAATGTGCATACGATCACGAGAATGTGATGTAATGAGCCGTAGTGTTCACTTGAAAGAGTGACGCTAACACTTGCCAATGTAAAGGTGCTGAATTGGCGGACGACGAGGGTACTCTTCTTGCTCTTGCTCTTCCTATTCCTCTCATCTTTGTCCAAGCCTTACTGCATATCTACGGGACCCACAGATACCAGGCCTTTTTCAACTTTAAAAGGGCCACGTTTAGACACGAGGAAACTCGTTACTCTTGCTTTCTAACATTATTTTATTTTTTTTTTCTTTTTTCTTTTTCTCCCTTTACATTTGACGTTTTAATCAATTCGTCAAGAATTTTCTATTTTATAATATAGATAATTTTTAATTTACATTAATTTTCTATCATTTCGTGTAACAACGGAAAAAAAATAATAAACGTTTAATGCATCTTATTACCTTACCATTAATAGGTTGACCCTTCTTCTACCATTCACCACCTGCAAAAGTACCAATTATGACATTGAAATTATACCTTCGTTGAGATTCAACTCGTCTGAGAGAATTTCCTCCTCGTCGTTAACGATCGGTAGATTTTCTAGAGGTACAGTCACAGATATCGTCTCGAAAAATATAACCATGGTTTTGGAGAATCTACTTATGAATTATGAAAACAATCAACTACCAACACACGGAAAAGGTATTGTTTTATTCGATATATCTTTTTACCAATAAAACGTAGAATAGTGTCGTTAGATCTTTAATTAATTCAGAATATCAAGGGAGTCATTTATGCAATTATTATTGCAAAAAGTGTTTGCTTATTACATAGAGATGGAATAGATTAAATAGATAAAAATGAAATTCTTATGTTCTATTCGAAACTTAGAGTTATTATATAAATATCTTTATCGTGTATCTTTATCGTCTTAATTGCTTATTTATAAAAAAAAAATATATATATATATATACATATATAGTAAAATATTGGATTACGATAGGGATTATGGTATTCGTGTGTAAAACCTTACAGACCGTTGAATTTTTGTGTCGAAAGATGAACCGGATGGCTCTCTGCGAACGTTGCAAAAATTTCGTGGCCGCGTTCCTACGATCCGTTAAACTCTTAAAAATGTGAAGAGAAATGTGAAGCGACACGATATAAAGCGAAATTAGTTACGTCTCGTTACGTTATCTTGTACCTCCTGTAGAAATATGAGTTAACTTATGAAGGTAAAGAGATAGGAGGAGGAGGGAGGAGGGAGGAGAAAATGAAAAAAAGGAAAGTAATTATATGGAAGCAAATTTGTTAATTGGAGTGAAAGAATCGCATTTTCCTAATTCATCTTGATTCCTTTGGAAAATCTGACACATCCTTTTTTTGGCCGACCACTTCCGATAATCTTTTAGAAATTTTTTCATTTCACTGGAACGATTCAGAGTCGTCAGAAAGAATTCGAGTTTGTCCTACCAGCTTCTTGTTTTATTACCGATTTCTCTCCCACCTCTCCATTACTATTCTGATAGTTTTTTCTTTGTGTCCAGAAAGACTTATCATCGCGAATGGAATGGCTCAATATCGATATTACATGCATACCTCAAATTGGAGTAGAGCCAGATGTGAGAGAAGGATTAAAAAAAAAAAGAGAAAAAAAAAATAAAAGAAACTATTGCTCGGTTTTTAAATCGTATCTACCTCTGAAATACAGCAGGATCGTCTCACTTTTGGCCGCCTTCGTCAATTTCACATTTCCCTCTTTCTGTTTTTTCCACTTTTTTCCTTCCGTTATTGGACTTTCTCTGTGTACCCAAGATTTGTCAACAAACGACAGAGAACACGATCTTCTCGCCAAAATCATATTTCATAGAGAATTCATTTGTCATTTCGTTATATTCTAGAAAATAATATTGCATAAAAATTCGTAGGTACACCAACGGTGGTAAAGACAAATATCCTGATAAGAAGTATGGGTCCTGTTTCCGAATTGGATATGGTAGAAATAATTATTTAATGATTTTATAAAGATCCATAGTGATATAATGAATCGATAAATTATTTTTCACTTTAGGATTACTCAATGGATTGTTACTTCCGACAATCTTGGCGTGATTCTCGTCTTAGTTTCTTAGGACCTATCAAATCCCTCAGCCTTAGTATCAAGATGCTCGAGAGAATTTGGCGTCCAGACACGTACTTCTACAATGGGAAACACAGTTACGTGCATACCATCACTGTGCCCAATAAGTTGCTGAGAATTTCTCAGGACGGTGATATACTCTATTCCATGAGGTCTATATAACATTAAGTTCTACATATCTTTTATTCTTTTTTTTTTTTTTTTATTTTTTTCTAATTCATTTTCTTTAACAATTATACATTTTGTTTTAGACTTACCATTAAAGCAAAGTGTCCTATGGAGTTACAGAACTTTCCTATGGATCGACAATCGTGCCCATTAATTTTAGGAAGCTGTACGTACACCCTTGCCGATTTATTTTATAATACGTTTTTATACGCGAGAAAGTTTTAGTATTATCACCTTCCATCCTCGCAAGATTCAAATACTTTCTTTGATTATTAATTTATTCATAATTTTTTAAAAATATCTCTCACATATTCACTCGCAAAGATAACTTATTCGTCACGTGCTAGAGACATCCAAAATTATATATGCCTGGCGATCGAGTTACGTGTTACGATAAATATTATAAATATTATATATAAATCTCATATCTTTTTATAGTTTTCTCGTATTCTCGATCAAAAAATATTTTACATAGATCGATTATGTTACTGCAATTATAGATAGCAGTATGGTACTATTCGAAAATAAAAGATATTACAATTTTTCTTCGTTTGAAAAAACATAGAAATATTTTTTCCTCTAGACGTAGATACATGTAACGCAAATTAAAATTGTTTATTGTTTTAGATGCATACACCTCCCAACAATTAGTTTATGAATGGCAAGAAGGATCGTCCGTAAACTTTGTTCCTGGAATGGCACTATCACAATTCGATTTAATGGGTTCTCCCTATAGAAATCTTACGTTTGTACGTCGTGAAGGCGAGTTCTCTGTTCTTCAAGTATCTTTTAATTTACAACGAAATACCGGTTATTTTTTAATACAAGTAAGAATTAAATTCGAATTTTATTTCGATCATACGTGTTTTCCTTCTAATGAAAGAATTATTTTTTTTTCTTTTTTTTTTTTTTCTTCTTTTCATTTATATTTAATATTCAAGGTCTACGTTCCGTGTGTACTTATAGTCGTCTTAAGTTGGGTATCGTTTTGGATTCATCGTGAAGCTACCAGCGATCGAGTAGGTTTAGGTAAAATTATTTTATCGATAAGTCTGAAACGTGAGCTTGTGTATCGGTATTTAAATTAAAATATCCTTATCATAAGGTATCACAACGGTACTAACACTTTCTACGATAAGCCTTGATTCAAGAACTGATTTACCAAAAGTGAGATACGCTACAGCCCTCGATTGGTTTCTTCTCATGAGTTTCGGTTATTGCATTGCTACACTTTTAGAATTTGCTGGGGTACATTATTTTACGAAGGTATGAGATCATAAAGTATTGACACTTTACTCTCTCTCTCTCTCTCTCTCTCTCTCTTTCTCTCTCTCTCTTTTTCTCTCTCTCTCTCTCTCTCTCTCTCTCATTCTCTCTCTTTCTTAGTAATAATTTTAGTCTTTTCATAGGTAGGAAGTGGAGAACTTCCATTGGACGATGAAGAATGGGAAAATATTTCGGACAAGGAGTACGAAGATCCATTTTGTACAATCACTACTTGCGGTCCCCAAACTATTCATCCAGATAGTATCATCGACGAAACTTCCAGAAGTTCCACCGTCTGCAGCGTTTATAATGTAAAAATATTTTGAAAAAATATAACATACAGGGTGAGTTCTTTAAATTAATATCTTGAAAATAGCTCATTTTTGAGAAAAAAGTTTAAAATAAAAGTTGTATGGTTTGAAGGAGGAGGGTGGGACATGATAGTATTATTTCTTTTTGATTCGTTTGGACGTTTTCATAATTATTTCAAAATCAACTTCATTTTGTTTTCAGTGGAAATTTATAATTCTTTAAACGAGATCTTATTTTACATAAAAAATAAACAAATAATTTTTATCGAGAACATTTCTTATCCAAACTTTACTTTTTACAATATTTAACATTATTTCGACAAAAAAAAATTAAAGCAAATAGAAATATAAAAGAAAAGAGAAAAATATTGTTAATAAATATTCAAAATAATTGTTCTGATTTTCGTAAATACGATAGTATCGAATAGGATAGAATAGGATTGAATAAAATTAAAATAATTTTTTAAATGTTTTAATTCTTAAATTATATTACCCTCGGCCCCAAAACCAAACAATTTCTGTTTCAATTTTTTTTTTCAAAGATGTGTTGTTTTCGAAATATTTAGATGCCTCAATTTAAAAAACTCATCCTGTATGTATATATATATATATATATATATATATATATATATATATATATATATGTATATACATAGTTACGTCCATAATGAATACTATTATTTATCTAAGAATATAATAAAATAATGTGTCACAAATTTGTAGGATTCGGTTATGTACAACCGACGATCTTATCAGCCCGTAACAATGACTGTTACGTCGAGACCGTCCACAATGGAAAGACAGACACAAACCGAACATCGATTACCTAAATGGAAACAATTTTTATACTGTTTGGCAGGTGATGATGAGTTTAGGTAATTAGTACATATTCAGCATATTTATTATTTGAATATAATGATACTAAATTATTTTGTTGAGAATTATAGAAGGCAACGACAACGTGAAGCAATAAGGAATTGCCGAAAATTCGGAGAACGTGTAGCGAGACATATCAATAGTGTATCGACTATAGATAGAGTAGCACGAATAGTTTTTCCAGCATCTTTTGGATTACTTAATGTATGTTACTGGGTCGTTTATGTCACTTATCAGGAAGAATTTAAATGGCAAGATCCACCGATTGGTTCGATTTCTAAATAAAAACTTCCTTATCAAATTAAATATTGTCAAATAAATGAAATCTAAATTTCATGCATTTTTTCTTTTTATAAATTTACGAAAATATATTCTATAAAGTAGATTTAGAAAACATGTAATATATATGTATGTTTCATTATTATACATATAATTATCGATTAAGCAATGTCTCTCTTTCACATTCATTATCTGAAATTATTTATTTATACTACGAAAATAAGATACATACAAAAAAATATAAAATATTAAAAAACAAATCAAATGTAAAGTAAAATCAAACGGAAGATAATAGTACAAACTTGACCAATTGGAAGAACGCACGTGACCGTGATTGCGGGACTCGAGTAAATGCTGATTAAATTTTATTCAAATGATCAAAGTTAAGCATTTATGTAATAATTTTTCAAAATATATTGCAATTTTAATATACTTTCAATATTAAAATAATTATAATTTCATTTTATAAGTAATACGCATTTTTAATATCACGTGCAGATAAGTAACATATTCAGTAGTCATACGAAAGTACAAAAGTATGAATTACCGCCAAAAATGGTAGAAGAGATTATTTTCATTGTTTTTTCCATAAATCAACGTTTTAATAATGTACAAAAACTGCTCAATCATTCAACATCTTTCCTTATCTTTTACTAACGAATAGAAATTAATAGCTGCTTACTATTATCTTTTTGCATGTGCATCTATTATAATTTTTGTGATCAGCTGCTCGATAATATGTGGCAACAGTGGTTGGGCGATGTCGTTGGTATTGTTCAGTATTGTTGACTTCAAGATGGCTGCGGATTACTGTGGGAGATATTCTAAGAAATCGTAATTCTCCCTAAGAGAACTTCCAATTTTGTATATATTTAAAAAGTCGTGTGTTAAACGACCTTACGAACTTCGGTGCTAATTACACCGAGTTTCTTTGTGTCGTTCGATTTAATACCGTACAAAACAGAATATGAAAATCATGCCATCTGACACTAGCTGACTTATGGAAGAACCTCCAATGTCAGCAAGGAGGATGATTTTTAATGTTTTATGGCGGTATCGCCTTTAACCGAGGTGATTATATTGAATTTTTATATGATGTTAATCATACACGTTATTTTAAACTGTTATGAAATAAGATGATACAAAGATTTGTAAATGTTGCTTTTGCAATGGAATTTCTGTATCTAATGTTAAATTGTTTAAAAAAAATATCTGTGTATATATACATATATACATTTTTCACAGTAATACTCAAATGTCAATATGGAATCTTCGATGAACCGAAAACGGAGTTCATCTGTAAGCTTCACAAGAGGAAAAGAGAATAGCGACGATGATGTTGGAGACGAAATACACATATCTTTGGCACCATACATACAAACTTACTTGGCACATAGTGGACAAGGACTTGGATGTTGTGGGATTAGTTTACCAGTGCCATTTGAACGTGCTGCGTCGCGTTCTTGGTGGAATCCAAAATTTGATTCTGAAATTCTAGAAGAACAATATAAAAGAAGTGCCTTTCTACAGATTAGACTAAGATTCCGGTATGTATTTATATGAAGTTGTATTTATTTATTTTTATTTTTTATTTTAATAATATATAAATTCAAGTTTTCTTTCAGATATGCTCTTATATATATCCTGTTGGTATCTGTATCTTGGCTGGTATATTTTGTAATCACTGGAATTGAGAATAATACTTCTACATGGTTAGCTATCGCAGCCATTTTCAGTATTGTTGGAATGATGGTATCCGCTGTATTATATTTAACTTACACAGATTACTACAAGTCCTATGTATTACCAACTTCTGTAGGAGTTGCATCTGTGTTGTGTTCTCTTTCTTTACTCTTTCTTGCGGTAGTACCTCCTTATGTAGATGGCTTAACATTAGTAGGACATTTTGCACTATGTTCAGAAATTTTGTTACTGATTTATACGGTACTACCAATGCCTCTTTATGCTTGCACAGGAATATCTTCTATTTATTCGATTATATTCGAGTTTCTAACTGCCTACCTCTATGGCTCAAAAAGTAGAAGACAAAGGATATTCAGCAATCACAAATTTTTTAATAATTCTTCAAGAACAAATATGTCTGAAGATTATAACAAAACATCTATTCCTATCTATTCTTCACATCAAAATTCTCATTTTTTTAATGGTTTCCAAAGTATATCTAATGTTAGCAATGCTTTAACAGCTGGCACACAGATGATATCGAATTTATATACTTTAAATCCAATATCTAATTTTAGTTCAAAGTTGTTGGACGACGAAAGTATTGTAGGAAAAATGTCTGGGAATCTTACAAATGCAAATATGTTAACGAAACTAAATTCTAGTATTCCATTTATAATAACAAATGTTGGTTCTACTGTAAATTCAACGTTCAACAATATAAATGTTAGTAATCTGAATAAAATGAATGCATCTTCTACAGAGGCTGAAATAGCCCTTGATGTTGTTGAATCAATTACCAATTGGACTAATACATCAAGTGCATATTTGCAAGATGATATTGATTTTACAACGAATCTCAGTATAAGAATTTTGATGCAAATATGTATTCATTTAATCGGTGTACATATCTTAATAATGACGTTTGTCCGAATGCGTGGTACTTTTATGAAAGTGGGGCAATCATTACTAGTACGTCGTCAATTAGAAATGGAAAGACAGCTTAAAGAAAAAATGATACATTCTGTAATGCCACCAAAAGTAGCAGATTGGTTAATGGAAGAAAGTGGTAGAGAGAGAGAACGTGAAGATTCTCTAAAAAAAGGATCTATACCATCAAATCAAACAGATATTCGATCTTTATTTCGACCATTCAATATGCACTCTATGGAAAATGTCAGTATATTATTTGCTGATATTGTTGGTTTTACAAAGATGAGTTCAAATAAAACTGCAGAAGAATTAGTTGGGATTCTTAATGATCTATTTGAACGATTTGATGATTTATGCGAACATCATGGATGTGAAAAAATTTCTACATTGGGAGATTGTTACTATTGTGTTAGTGGTTGTCCTGAACCAAGACCTGATCATGCAAAATGTTGCATTGAAATGGGATTAGGTTAGTATAACATAAAAAAATATTGATCTTTAGAAATTTTTCTTTTATACACGTTTACATATACTTTAATCGTTATCTATCTGAATTATATGATTATTTCAGCAATGATAGAAGCTATAAAACAATTTGATATAGAAAGAAGAGAGGGAGTAAATATGAGAGTTGGTGTTCACACAGGAACTGTCTTGTGTGGAATTGTTGGCACTAAAAGATTTAAATTTGATGTTTGGTCAAATGATGTGACATTGGCAAATAAATTAGAAAGTACAGGTAAACCAGGCAGGGTACATTTGAGCGAAAAAACTTTAAATTTTTTGAATCATCAATATATCACAGAAGATGGAGAGGTAGTCAATGGTATGTGTATACAATAATATTAACATAACTAGTTAATAAATATTTCTAATTTTATACTATTTACCAAACAAGAATATTATCTATAATTTTAGGTATTAAAACTTACTTTATCAAAAGTCGAAAATCAGATATTATGAATCAATTCGTAACAAATATCATGTTACCTAAGGATTTTTCTCCATTAATGCAAACTCGTCATCGTCTTGCCTCTTGCAATAATCAAAATAAACCCAGACAACATTATCTCCATATGGTGACTAATGCAAGTAATTATAGGATAAAAGCTAATTCCTTGCCCAGTATTTTGGATTCTGAAAATAGTAATGACATAATTGATGAGAAAGAAGGTCTAAATAAAAGTCCTATGTCAACTGCAAGTTATGAAAAAAAAAGAACACGAAATAAACCATGGCGGTATTTACAACGACAAAGGACGAGTGAAGAAATGACGCCTTTAGATATGGAAGAAGGAAAAAGTATGATTATAAAACAACCAAAAAATGAACAATACGAAGATCGCAATGGATTCAAACGAGTCAGTAACTTCATATTTTATTACTTATCATTGAATGTATTAATTACTTACATTATTTTGTAGATTCCTTTCAATAATGGTGTTGAAATGGATCCAAATCCTGTGCCTTCTAGTCCTTTATTGTCTGGTCAAGAAACAATAAGTCACGCTTCGTCGATATGTAGTAGAAAAGATTCTGGTATTAAGAGTAATAGCAGACGTAGTAGTATTCAACAGCAGGTAAACTTTTTATCAGGAAATGAAAATATTCCATGCATATTAATTTTACTTTATCCAGTAATGTTGTAATAATAATTCGTTGTAGTTATTCCTGATGAATGGTATGACTCAAGGGGATCTATTAGGTCATAGAGTTAGTGGTTATTATACTTCTAGTTCAACTTTGAATTCTACTCATGAACTTTCGTCATCTGTACCACCTTATCCATTTCCTCCAGCAGTAACTGATACATTTGGTGCATGTTTTCATAAGTTAAGAAAACAATCTGATTTACAATTAATAAGGTAATATTATTTATTAATATTAGAAACACATTTTCATATTGCATTGACTTTTAACGTTTCATTAATTCTTGTTTTATAAAGATGCGTTCAAGACAACGTGAGTTCTCAACGATCATATTTCGTGAAGCCACCGTTATCAAGCGTAACGCTATTTTTTAAGAACAAAGAATTGGAAAAAGAATATCGAGAAAATGCTCATAGAGCGAGTGAAGGTGTAACGGGCAATCCTCCAACACTAGCTACTTCAAGATTTAATACTTATTTTGACATATTAATATCGGCTCTAGTTTTTATAGCTATTACAATCTCTCTCTTCTTGCTTTGCAAACCTTCAATTTTCTATATTGTGTTTTGTATCTTTGCCATAACTATTCAAATCATAGCTGTTTTACTTTGCATTAGACAATTTTTTAGACCAAATACCACTCATGCAACATTCACTCAAAATATTTTCAACTTTTTTTCTAGGTGGTATCCTTGGCATATTTGTGGTGCCATATTAGTTGGCTTACCAATTGTTTCTAT